TTTTTTTTTTAAAGATTTTATTTTTTATTTATTTGAAAGGCAGCGCTAGAGAGAGCGAGAAGACACAGAGAGAGTTTCCAGTCCGCTAGTTCACTTCCCAGATGGCCGCGACGGCAAGCACTGGGCCAGGCCGAAGCCTGGAGCCCAGGAGCTTCTTCCGGGTCTCCCATGTTGGTGCAGGGGCCCAAGGACTAGGGCCCATCTCTGGGCCGCTTTTCCAAGGGGGGAGCTGTGCCTAAAGTGGAGCAGCTGGGACAGGAAGCCGCGCCCAGTCGGGATGCTGGCTTCCAGGCGGTGGCCTTACCTGCTACGCCATGACTTTGAATCCACTCTTAACTCTGTTAATTTTGTACTTTATAAAGGGGAAAGCACGACCCTTGCCGCACACAGCTGAATCCGCTCATGCATTCATCAAGCTTTATCCCATGTCCAAAATGTTTCAGCACCTGTGCTGGGTACTAGGTGTTCCTAGGTGATGAAATCACTCCCTTGTTACAGTTCACTTTTTCCTACTTAGGATTCCGTTTACTCCTAGCTTGGCAAGCATTTTTGGAGCGGAGCAGGGGCCCCAGCATTTGGGCCATCTCCCACTACTTTTCCCAGGCCATTATCAGGGAGCTGGAGCAGAAATTGAGCACATTGGACTCGAACTGGCACCCATTTGGGATGCCAGCACCGCAGGTGAAGGCTTAACCTACAATACCACAGCGTCAGCCCCAGCAACAGGAATTTTTAAAAAGATCATTACTAGGGCCGGTGCCTGGGCAGAGAGGGTAAGCCTCAGCCTGCAGTGTCAGCATCCCATATGGGTGCCAGTTTGAGTCCAGGCTGCTCAACTTCTGCTCCAGCTCCTGCTAATGGCCTGGAAAGCAGTAGAGGATGGCCCAAGTTCTTGGACACCTGCTATCCATGTGGGAGACCTGAAAGAAGCTCCTGGCTTCAGCTAGGCTCATTCCAGACTGTTGGGACTATCTAGGGAGCGAACAAGCAGATGGCAGATCGATCTCTCTCTCAAATAAATAAATCCTCTTTAAAAAGTGTTTACTATTCCAGTCCTGGCTGCTTCTCTTTCAATCCAGCTCTCTGGTAATGGCCTTAGGAAAGCAGCAGAAGATGGCCCAACTATTTGGGTCTCCTGTACCCAGTTGGGAAATCCGGAAGAAGCTCCTGGTACCTGGCTTCAGATCAGCCCAGCTCTGGCCGTCGTGGCCATTTGGTGAGCGAACCAGTGGACGGAATCCTCTTCTGTCTCTGTAACTCTGCCTTTCAAATAAAAAAATAAATCTCTAAGAAAAAAAGTGTTTAGGGGCCAGCACTGTGGTAAAGCCACTGCCTGCTGTGCCGGTATCCCATATGGGCACCGGTTTGCCTTCCGGCTGCTCCACTTCTGACCCAGCTCTCTGCTATGGCCTGTGAAAGCAGTAGAAGATGGCCCAAGTCCTTGGGCCCCTGCATCTGCGTGGGAGACCCAGAAGAAGCTCCTGGCTCCCAGCTTTGGATCGGCACAGCTCCAGCTGTTGCAGCCATTTAGGGAGTGAACCAGCGGATGGAAGACCTCTGTCTCTCTTTCTGCCTCTCTGTAACTCTGTCAAGTAAATCAATATTAAAAAAAAAAAAAAAAAGGTTTAATATAATAAATTTTGTTGGGGCCGGCACCATGGCTCACTTGGTTAATTCTCTGCCTGCAGTGCCAGCATCCCACATGGGCGCCAGGTTCTAGTTCCTGTTGCGCCTCTTCCAGTACAACTCTCTGCTGTGGCCGGGGAAGGCAATGAAGGATGGCCCAACTACTTGGGCCCTGCATCCGCATGGGAGACCAGGAGAAGCTCCTGGCTCCTGGCTTCGAATCGGCACAGCTCCGGCCATAGCGGCCATTTGGGGGGTGAACCAACGGAAAAGGAAGACCTTTCTCTCTGTCTCTCTCTCTCACTAACTCTGTGAAATAAAGAAAGAAATAAAAATAAATAAATTTTGTGTGTGTTTTCTATAAAAAATAAAGCCCTAGGCAGCATGTGTAAGTGGGGCACAATCAAATCCCAAGGGGGAAGTGCCAACAATGGGAATGAACTGGAGATCAGAAATGCAGGCAGGCTGTGATCTTGCTCATATAGACAATGAAAGGGAAGGCGGAACATCTTTAAAAAAAAAAAATGGCAAGGCTTCCATAGCCTTGGCAGCTCACGACAAGAGCCTCGGGTGATCACTGACGTCATAAATAAGAGTGTCAATTGTTAAATCAACAACGGGAGTCACTGTGCACTTGCTCCCCATGTAGGACCTCTGTCCTTAATGAGTTGTACTATGTGAATTAATGGTACAACTAGTCTTCAAACAGCACTTTATACTTTGTGTGTCTGTGTGGGTGCAGACTGTTGAAATCTTTACTCAGTATAGAGTTGATCTTATGTATATAAAGATAATTAAAATTACTGGGATGGGAGAGGGAGTAGGAGGTGGGATGGGAGTACGGGTAGGAGGGCGGGTATGGGGGGGGGGAAGAATCGCTATATTCCAAAAGCTGTACCTATGTAATTTTTATTCATTAAATAAAAGCTTTCTAAAGCAAATGGCCAGAAAGAAACATTATAACCTAGGCAGTAAACTAAGCTTTTTAATGTCATCTCCTGATTCCTAGTCTAGCAATGTATAAACTGAGCCTCAAAGAAATTGGCAGGTAGTGTGGCTCTCACTTTAAGACATGAATGGGAGACCTGAGGCCAGAACTGGTTTACTCCAAAGTCCTGTTTTTTCCCTTCCACATGGTCCCTCTTCCAGGAAAAGCCTCCGATTGAGCTTTCTCTCCGCTCCAGGTCCCTCTTTCCCTAACGCTGTCCCTGCGGCCTGCACACATTTCTAATGAGGCTGCCTGATGGAATGCTGCAGGCCCCCGGGGGTACAGAGCCTGTATCACGGGAATGCTGGGAACGCGGCGAATGCGCGGCGCCCAGGAGACCCAGAGTGCTATCAATGAATGAAGTAACAATGACCCCGTCGTCTCTCTCTCCACAAAGGGCTCTTCAGCGCCTCACCAGGACTGTCTCCCGCAGAGCTGCTCCTATCGGTCAGGATCTCTCTCATCTCTCTGGTGCGCCCACCTGGACGCCAGAAAGGCTTTTCCCTCTGCCAGAAACCCTACGCTGCCTCTTCTTCACCTGGCCTGCTTCTGAACTATTTCCCCAAACTTCCCCAGCCTGGTCAACAGCCTTGGGGCTGTATAACCCCAGCAACGACAACCCGTTCACCCCATGGCACCTGTCCCAGTATTGCAAGCGGCCTGGTTTTCTGCCTCAATACCGGAAACATAGAGGGAGTGAAAGACAAAAGGGATGCGGCAAGGATCAAAGCAGGACTTCCCCTGGCTTTCAGAAACGGGGCGACGCAGGCACGGGAAAACCTGCAGAGACAGCCACATCCTGCGCTGCAGTTGGAAATTCAACATAAATAAGGAGCGTGATGGGGTTGGGGGGCAAGGCCTGTGTGCCGGGGAGCGCCGCCTGCCGGCCACGCCGCGGCACTGCGCCGACCCACGCGCGGGGGGCATCACGCACGCTCCGCGCCGGGACCCCAGACCCGGACGCGAGCGCAGGCTCTCGAGGACCTGTCCGCTGGGAGGGGCGGACAGCCGGCACGGGAGCCGCACGCACGCGTGTTTCTGAGGGTCACGGGGCCCTTCGCGCCCCGGACCCGTCCTTCCTCTCGATCCCAGGTGAGGACGGCCCGACGGAGAGGCTGAAAATAGCCTGGGAAGCCTTCCGGGGCGCGCTCGCTCCCCCTCTCCTTCTCGACTATTCTTAGCCCCACGCTCTCGCACAGCTCGCGCCACCAGACACGCTAACAGCCTCCCAGTTCAAACGCGTGAGGCGATGGAAGCGGCTGAGGCGTGCGAACGCCAACGCTCCGCGCTGCGAAACCAAAGCCGAGGCCGCCGGGGGCCTCGGCCGCCCGAAGGGTCGCCCCCAGCCCTCCGGGACCCCCCCCACACCACCCCCTCCCCACAGCAGCTCCGAGGTAACGGCGGAGGTCAAGGGCCGAAGGCCGGGTTGTCCCCAGCCGCCGGTGGGAAACCCTGCGGCTTTTTTATTTCGATTTTAGGGAAACCAAAAAAAAAAGAACTGGTGGGTTGAGGGGACCGGAAGCGCACTGGGCCGGGGGTGAGGGGGGACAGGACGACGGGCAGCCCCACCCCCTTCCGCCGCGCCCCTCCCCCCCGCCGCCGCCCGCGCGCGACCCCCCGCCCGCCCGGCGTCTCCGCCCGCGCCACCCCGCCGCCCGGGGCCGGGGGGCGCCGAGGCCCCACCCCCGCCCCCCACTTACCTGTGGCTGCCGCCTCGCCGCAGTCCGGGGCGGGAACTTCCACTCCCCCCACACACACACCCCTCCCAGATGGAGCCGAGTTCACTGCCCACTTCCCCACCCCCTCCTCTCTCTCTCTCTCCCTCCTCGAGGGCCAGGCGGGGCGGGGAGACGCGGTGTCGCTGAACGGCCCCGCAGTCCTAGGCGACAGTGTCCGCGGCACTCGGGGCCGCCACGGGCGGCATGATCTCGACTCCGGGCCGGGGGCGGGAGCGGGAGGGGCGCCGCGGAGGGTGGAAGTGCGTGGGGGGCGAAGCCGGGGCGGGGCTCCGTGCCGGCCGCCGTCCTGCGTCATCGCGTCTCACGTGACGCGCCGCGCCGCCATCTTGGGCCCGCCAAGCCGCGGGGTGGGCGGTGCGCGGTCGGGAACCGCGGTCGCTCGGCTGGCGGGCGGGTTTTTGGTGTTTTGTTTTGTTTTGTTTTTGGTTAGCAGACTGGGCGACTGCGTGCTCGGGGGTTGGGGGGGTTGGGGCGGCGGTCACCCCCCTGACTCGGACCTGCACCTGTGCCTTTGAAGCTCCTGTTTGCTTGCTGCCGGTTACTTTAGAGATTTATTTATTTGAGAGGCAGAGAGAGGTCTTCCATATGCTGGTTCACTTTCCAGATGGCCAGAGCTTTGTCAATCCGAAGCCAGGAGCCAGGTGCTTCTTCCGGGTTTCCCACGTGGGTGCAGGGGCCGAAGGACTTGGGCCATCTTCCACTGCTTTCCCAGGCCACAGCAGAGAGCTGGATCAGAGGTGAAGCAACTTGGAGGTGAACCAGCGCCCTTATGGGATGCCGGTTCTGCAGGGGGCAGCTTTACCCATGATGTTTTTGTTCTAACATGAGACACTTTAGGGTAAACTTACATACATGCGAAGAACGGTGCGGTCAGATCGTAGAATGACGCAAGTTGACTTTTGAGCTCCTCCAGGTGCCCAGCACAAGAGGAAGCTAAAACTTGCAAAGAGTCCCGCGGGCTCTTAGAGTTCACACCCATTGTGGTGCCAGTTAACAGCTCCTGCACGGTGAGCTCGATAAGGCAGCTCAAAATATAAGACGGACCAGCTGTCAACGCTGGAACACTACCACTGGCTTCATCTCTGAAAACACTTGCCCACGTCCCAAAGGCTGCAGAGTCCAAACCTGGGGCCCAGAGGCCGTCCTCTGCCTCCTGCCTGCCAGGTACTGTCAAGAGTTACCCTGCCAAGCGCTCGTGGCTGCTGTCATTCACTCAGCAAACACTGTTCACAATCAGAAGCTAGAACTTGGACCCAGCATTAGGGTGCCTGGGTTTGAATCCTCCTCATCCTGGCTTCCTGCACCCTGGGAGGTAGCAGCTGATGACTCAAGCATTTAGATCCCTGGCAACCCCCATGGCAGACTGTGGGCGTGGCCCAGCCCCAGCTGTGGGGCATTGAGGAAGTGAAGTAGACCAAGTCTTCCTCTGACTCAAACACAAATTTAAAAAATTATGTGTTGATCTAGGAAACAACACTGTGGCACAGTGGGTTCGGGTCCCGGCTGCTCCACTTCCAGTCCAGCTCCCTGCTAACGTGCCTGGAAACTCGGAGGAAGATGGTCCAAATACTTGGGCCTCTGCCACCCATGTGGGAGACCAGGATGGAGTTCCAGGTCCCTAGTGTCAACTTGGCCCGACCCTCGCCATCGCGGCCATTTGGATATACAAGGGAAGCAGAAGATAATTAAAGTATTGAGAAAGAAAAGAAATAAAGTATTGAGTCCCTGCCAACCCTGTAGGAGACTAGATGGAGTTTACAGCTCCTGTCTTCAGCCTGGCCCAGATGCAAATGTTAGAGTCATTTTGGGAGTGAACCAGCAGATGGAAGCTCAACTCTCAATTCTCTCTTACTCTGCCTTTCAAATAAGTTGATCATTTTTGGGGAAAAAAAAAAACAAAAAAACATTTATTTCGAGAGTCAAGGGTGGGGGCGGGCTCCTAGCCAGTGATTTACTGCGTAAATGCTCACAATGCCAGAAGCAGGAGCCAGAGACAGAGTCCGGGTCTCCCAACGAGGGTGGCAAGAAGCCACTGCTGCTTCCCAGGGCGCGTGTTAGCACCACGCTGAAGATGGGCTGGAGCAGGACTCAAACCCAGGTGCTGCAGGGTGAGCTGTAGGCGTCCTAACTGCTGGACTACATGTCTGCTCCCAAAAGTAATTTTTTTTTAATGTTTAATTTTATTTGAAAGGCAGAGTGACAAAGGTCTTCCAGCCACTGGTTCACTTTCCAAATGCCCAGAATAACCAGGGCTGAGCCAGGCTGAAGCCAGGAGCCCTGAACCCCATGAGGTCTCCGTGTATGCGGCAGGGCCTCCAGTTGTCTGCTGGCTCCCAGGATGCATGGTACCCGGAGGCTGGATTGGAAGCGAAGGAGCCAGAACTTGAGCCAGGCACTCTGATGTCAGTTGCACCACAGTACCCACCCTGAAAGTAATTACTTTAAAACAAAGTTGGCCAGCCCAGGGTGGCACGACTTTAGTCCTTTAGGCCCCCTTTTTTCCATTTAGAAAGATTAAAATGAAAAAGTTTTGATGGTGCTGCACTTCCCATATAATCATGTAGATTGAATGAGTTTGAAACATGTCAAATTAGAGTGAGTTCTGGGGCCAGCGCTGTGGTGCAGTGGGTTAAAGCCCTGGTCTGCAGCACCTGCGTCCCATATGGGTGTGGGTTTGAATCCCAGCTGCTCCACTTCTGATCCAGCTCTCTGCTGTGGCCTGGGAAAGCAGCAGAAGATGGTCCAAGTCCCTGGGCCCCCGCACTCTACTGGAAGACCAGGAGGAAGCTCCTGGGTTCGGATCAGCACAGCTCTGGCCGTTGCAGCCAACTGGGGAGTGAATCAGCAGATGGAAGATCTCCCTCTCTCTTTCTGCCTCTCCTTCTCTCTCTGTGTAGCTCTGATTTTCAAATAAATAAATTAAATTTAAAAAAAGAAAGAAAGGACATGAGCCCAAGCGGGCGACTTTAGAGCCTACTTCTCAAAAGACAGAAATTATTTGAAGCTGATAGATGTAAGCTTTGTGGACTACAAAGTGTTTTTGTGCTTCTGTCTTGTGATACTCAAGGGGAAACACACACGGTAAACCTTACCCAGGAGAGGTCCTAAGTGCGTGCAACGGTTATATTGTTGGCACCCAAAGAAGGATACTACGAAGCAAAATTTCTCTCTGAGCCTTCCCCTGCCTCTCTCTCTCCCCTCGTTAGTCCCCAGGTAAACCGTGTGGAAACTAGAATTCCTCCTTCCCCAGATTATAGAAACAGATCCCCTTGCCCCCAAAGCCAGCTGTGAAACCTAAAAATACTATTTTTGCCTCCTCCCTACCATTCTTTGTAAAAGTTGACCATGAAGAAATTAAGACTGTCGTCATTCCAGACAGGTCTTGCCCCATACCTGGGAGGAAGCAATGAGACCGAGGGGCTAAGAAGAATCTGGACAGACAGGCCTTGCGGGGCATCCCCACCCATTAGCTCACTCCTGCTTTGTTCCACATTTCTACATGGCTGTCCCTGCTGCATCAAACTTAAGATAAAAATGGGTAATTTGGGGCTGCCATTGTGGCGTAGCAGATAAAGCCACTGCCTACAGTGCCAGCATCCCTAATTCAAGTCCCGGCTGCTCCTCTTCCGATCCAGCTCTCTGTTATGGCCTGGGAAAGCAGTGGAAGATGGCCAAGTCCTTGGGCCCCTGCACCTACGTGGGAGACCCAGAGGAAGCTCCTGGCTCCTGGCTTTGAATCAGTGCAGCTCTGGCCGCTGCGGCCAACTGGGGAGTGAATCAGCAGATGGAAGACCTCTCTCTGTGTCCCTCTCACACTCTCACTGCCTCTCCTTCTCTCTGTGTGTAACTCTGGCTTTCAAATAAATAAATCTTAAAAAAAAAAAAAAAAAGGATAATTCAGCCTGGAGCTGGGGGTCTTCAATCTGAAGAATCCTGTGTCCTATAAAACTGGGCAAATCAGTCTGTTATGCCTTTCTCTTGTTAACCTGTCTCTTAAGGGTGTCAGCTACAACCCTTTGGGTGGAAAGGGACACCCCTTTCCACCTTGTCAGTGTGAAGTCCAATCACACTATTTCAGGATGGCTGCTTTGCTGCCGCGTGTCATGCATGTCATCTGAATCTGAATTAAACCCGTAAAACTAGTCTGTGAGGCCCTTGGGGGACTAGACCACGTTGGGGCTCCGCACCAATCCTTCTCCTCTGGGGGAATTTCTCAGTCATCCGTATCTCACCAACAGCAGGCATCCGATCTCAAAGCTGGGGCCAGCAGAGTCTTCCCCAGGGAAATTTGATTTGGGCCCAAAATTAGTCTCTCTTTAGATGAATGCACCTAATGTTTCAGACTTTCCTTTAATATATTTATTTGAAAAAAAAGAAGGGTAAAGCCGCTGCCTGTGACACCAGCATCACATGTGGGCGTAAATTCTAGTCCTGGCTGCTTCTCTTCCAATCCAGTTCCCTGCTGATGCACCTAGAAAAAGCAGCAGATGGCCCAAGTACCTGGGCCCTGCCACCCACATGGGAAACCTGGATGAAGTTCCTGGCCCCTGGCTTCAGCCTGGCTCAGCTCTGGCATTGCAGCCATCTGGGAATTGAACCAGCAGATGGAAGATTTATTTGTGTGTGTGTTTCCCTTTCAAATAAATAAGTAAATCTGTACCCCAAAAAAGTGACAAAAGGAGGGAGGGACAAAGCAAAAGGGAGAGGGAGAGGTCTTCCACCTGCTCATTCCCTCCCCAAGTCCCTGCAGCAGCTGGGGCTGGGCCACACTGTAGCCTGAAGCTCCATCCAGGTCTACAGTGTGGGTGGCAGGGACATTAGCAGGAAGCTGGACTGCAGAGGAGCCAGTACTTGAACTAGTAATCTGATACGTGATGTGTGCGTCCCAAGTAGTTGCTTTATTTATTTGAGGGAGGTCTTCCAACCACTGGTTCATTCCCCAATTGGCCTCAATGGCTGGAGCTATGCTGATCTGAAGCCAGGAGCCAGGAGCTAGTTTCCAGATTTTTTTCCCGCCAGCCTCTGGGATTTTCCCTACATAATTTAGCCATTGGCCAAGGACATAGATCAATTCAATAAGCAAGCTTGGCGGTTTCTGCTGTCTGGGACTCTGTCTAATCATCTTTTCCCCTTGGTTACCTGGCTGCATGGCTGATCTGGAACCCTTCCCCGGTACACCTTAAGGCTATGGCTTCCATCACTCAAACTGCTTGGATGTAGGGAGACGTCCTCAAACAAAAAGTTGTGAATACAAATGTCCCCTGTTATATTTTGTCATTTTTTAAAACTTATTTATTTATTTATTTGAAAGGCAGAGAGAGAGAGAGAGAGAGAGAGAGAGAGGTCTTCCATCCACTGGTTCATTCCCCAAATGGCTGCATCGGCCGGAGCTGAGCCAATCTGAGGCCAGGAGCTTCTTCCAGGTCTCCCACATGGGTGCAGGGGCCCAAAGACTTGGGCCATCTTCTACTGCTTTCCCAGGCCACAGCAGAGAGCTGGATCAGAAGTGGAACAGCCAGGACTCGAACCGGCACCCATATAGGATGCAACGGCTTTACCCACTAAGCCACAGCACCTGGCCCTTGCATTTTTGTCTTTCAAGAGCAATCACTCCCAGCTTCTGCTTTTGGGCGATTTAGAGATATTTTGTACAAATCTGGTCAAGTTACTCTGCTTTTAGGAAGACTTGATACTGTTGATTTTTCATGTGTATTTTTTTTTTTTGGACAGGTAGAGTTATAGACAGTGAGAAAGGTCTCCCTTCCATTGGTTCATCCCTCCAAATGGCCGCTACTGCGCTGATCTGAAGCCAGGAGCCAGGTGCTTCCTCCTGGTTCTCTAGGGGGGTGCAGGGGCCCAAACACTTGGGCCATCCTCCACTGCCCTCCCAGGCCACAGCAGAGAGCTGGACTGGAAGAGGAGCAACCGGGACTAGAACCTAGTGCCCATATGGGATGGCGGTGCCGCAGGTGGAGGATTAACCAAGTGAGCCATGGCGCCGGCCCCTCACGTGTATCTCGTATTCAGTAATCTCACCAAACTGGTGTTGGGAAGTACAGATCCTCTTTCTGTACAAGACTATCATATCACTTCTAAATTGTATCGGTTCTTTTGTATCCAGTCCATATAGCTCACTTATCTTTCCCCTACTCTGCTGGCTGTAATCTCACTTTCTGGCTGCTCTGAGACAGTGATAAAGTGAGCATCCCCACCTGTTCCTTTCATGGTGGTGCCTCTGAAACATCACCATGGGTATTTTGACGTCATAGCCCTACTTTATCAGTTAAAGAATTCTTGCTCTTTGCAAATGACTTCGCCACTCCCTCCCCTCAAGAGGTAGAATCCTCTCCCCTGGAATCTGGCCTTAACAAAAGGCAGCAAAAGTGCTGTGCATGACTTTGCGAGTGGATGAGAAGCTTGGGGCTTAACGCGTTACCTTTCAGGATGTTCCCTTTCAGAACGCAGCCGCCACGCTGGGAGCCCCTGCATCTTAATCCTTCTGTGCAAAATACCTGAGCTGGCCAATTCAGCTTCATGGCTCGCAGTCACGGAGGCTGGGAAACCGAGACCGGGCGCTGGCAGCTCCAGAGGCAGTGAGCACTGTGTCCTTGAATGGCAAAGGGCAAAAGGACCCAGCTGTTGCCTCCAGCCCTTTCATGAGGGCACTAACACATCCATGACCTAATGATCTCCCTGAAGGCCCCTCATCTTCAACTATCACATTGGGTCTTAGGTTCCAATGTAAGAATTTGGGAAAGTTATGCACATTCAAACCACAGCAGGACTAACAATGAATTGTAGTTCCCACAGTGGGTAACTCCGCCTTCCTGTTGTCTTAATCTTAGCTGGTTGTCTCACCTGTCAAAACTGTGTTCAGATGCTACTCCTCCAGCACCTCACTCGCTCACCACTGGACTGGGTACCCGTATCTACTCTCAGTCCATCGCTGCTTTTAATCTTTTTAATATGATATTGTGATTGTCCTGTCTCTCCTTAAAGGCAGCGGTTTCTCTTCAGTTGAAGCTCTTACCACACTGCATTGTGCCTACTCATCAGGCGGGCACTGAATACATGTTAAGTGAAAAATGTTCTCAAACATGCACAATTCAAGCGGCTCCCACCAAGTTTCTTGAAGCCAGTAAATGGAAAAGCAAATGAAGTATCATGACATCTTCCATCTGCTGGTTCACTCCTCCAAATGGCTGCAATGGCCAGGGCTGGGCCAGGCCAAGGCCTGGAGCTTGGAACTTCATCTGCGTCTCCCCTGTGGGTGCAAGGCCCCTTCCACTGCCTTCCCGGGCACATTGGAAATGGAGCAGCTGGGGCTGAAGCAGAATGTTGCAGGCAGTGGCTTAACCCACAGTGCCACAATGGAGGCTCCTATCCTGGCTGTTATCATAGTTAAATTTAAACTTGATCAGTTCCCCAGCCCCCTCCCAACATGTGAAGGATTAAACACAATCAGGCATCAATATTTATTAACACAAGACAAAGGAAACACATTCAATGAGTTAATAGAACACTGTCCAGCCAGATGTTAAAAAGTGTGTATCTAGTCTAATTTCAAATAAATAAAAAAAAAAAAACTTTATACATAATTACACAGTACTGTAGTTTGAATTCGACATGGGTAAGTATCTTGACAGAAAGTAAACAAAACGGCATTTAGGACTAAAAAATTATTCTTGTATCTTTACAATCTCTTTCTCTGGACAAATAACACAGCCCATTTACATACACCTAAACCAGAAATGTAGGAATGACAAAGGCCTATTGTGTATTTGGAGTACTGCAGCTTCTTTCTCCAAATACTCTCGCTTTTATATCAAAGCAGACAACAAGAACAACCACTAAGGCATAGATCATGTTGGAGTTTGAGGGTGAGGTGATAACTCCTCATTGCTTTAGTCTAAAAGATTCCTGGATATTCAAGGAAAGTAATTTATTTGGCCAAAATATTGAGCACCATGCCTGGGACAGAGACCTTAAATAAACAGCTAAGGCCTCAGGCCCTTTGTTGATTCAACAAAAGCATTAAGCAAGCATTGCCCGGGGGCTGAGGGAGACACACCCAGATGACTTAGGCAGGCAGCACAGCTACAGAGGGGAAGCTCAGGCCCTTTGAGAAGCAGGGCCAGCTGCAGGCTGCAGGCCACCCTGGGCTCAGGGAGCCAGGCCACAGCACTGGTGCAGCTCTGGGAAGTCCCAGGGCCTAGGAATTTTCCTGAGGCTGAGGCAGTCCCTTGCAGATCCATTCGGTCACTGCTGCTGAGTCAGCAAGAGTTCAGAAGCTTGTGGACCAACGGATTTCTCTTGACGGACATGGAGGCTTGCAGTTCATTTTGTTTCTTTTTTCCCACAGGCATAAAAAATTCAGAGACAGAACCTGTTCCAGAGGATTAGAAAGGCTGTGTGTGTGTTTTAATTTTATTTTAAACCGACAATGGCCTTCTGGGCTGCCTTAAGAATCAGTTCTACTACAAGGGCTCCACTTAGTAGAAAGGGCAAGAGCATGGATTTCCCAGCCAAGCTGGGGGTCAACAGAGAGGGCCTTAGAACTGTACAAGCCCTGTCTGAGCTAATGCCTGTGCTGTCCTCTCCCACCAGAGTAACGGGGGAAGCTGGCCAGGAACAGCTCCCAGCTTTCTTGCACTAGCACATTTTGGCTTAAGGGAATGTGCAAAACCATAGCAAAAAATATAAAAACCAATGAGGAACTGTAAAATTAGGTGTCAGCCCCCAAGCAGCAGGGAATTGGCCACTCTCTGAGACAGTGGAGTCTCTCAAAGGAACGAGTGCAGAGCTGTGCTTTCCAACATGGCGGCCACTGTGGCATCTGGCTTCTAAGACTTGAACTATGGAGAGCTCAAGTTGAGAAGCTGACGCTGGGTTTGAAAGACTTACTATGTACATTTAAAAAAAAAGAATGCAAAATATCTTGTTAATAATTTTTATAATGACTTTATGTGGAAATAATATTTTTGACACTGGGTTAAATAAAATATATTAAAACCATTATCACTAGTTTCTCTTTACATCTAAAAAGGTGGTTACTGGCAAGTTTGCACTTGCAGGCATGGCTCCCATAGTATTATGGTGGATGGTGCATCTCTGGGTGCCTACCCCCAAAGTTGCCAGGGGACAGAATCTGCAACTCTTCCTCAGACCTTGGTGATGATGAGATAGAACCATTTGATCCTCAGGATCCCCTGCTTTGCTGAGTGACTCATTAAAAATTGCTTTCAGAAAATTACTTTCCAGGCTGTTCTCTGCAAATCACTGGGATTTCTCACTTGTCCCCATGTAAGTGCTTTTTTTCCCCCTGTACATTCCTCATCGTGTGTAAGTTAATTCCATTCTAAAATGCTGAAAAAGAGATCTGGAACTGGGAAAATGTCTTAATGTCTGCCCCTTGTGGAGACTGGATTAGGAGGAAAAGAGGATTGTGGGAAGGGAGTCATGAAGTGGCCATGAGGCATGAGACTGTGTGAAGGCAGCCAGGGAAGGCTGCCATGGCAAAGGGTCTGCTCATTGCATTATAAACCTATTTGCAGGGTAATTACAAGTCTTAAAAATTGCTTAAAAACATACTTAGTTTACATGATGTTACAGTGGGGTAAATAATATGTATTATTAAAATAGTCTAAATAAATATTTACACAACAGACCAGAGTAGGTTAAAGAGAACCATTCTGATCTAACAAGTTAATTCTTTTCACTTTTGAGCTTTTTAATTTTAAAAAATATTTCTGTAAGAAAAAAATAATAAAATTCAACTATATTCAAATATATGAAGTATCAGAGCCAAGGCAGGACACTGAGCCAGAGGCCGGGGCCAGTGCCGTGCCTCGGTCTGCTGGGCCCGGGTGCCATGGTTGCTTCTCCAGAGCTTCTTGCATACCCAGACTTCCCCGTCTCAGCAGAGGCCTGGCGATCCTGACAGCCCACACTGCTAAGTTCTGAGACGTGCGTCGTGCGGCCGTGCGGTTCTGTGTGACAGCTGATCCCACTGCCTTCCCAGCCTTTCATTCTGGGTTTTGGACTCCCTGCCCTTGTGACCTGGAGAACAGAGGACACTCTGCGGTTTTGGAAGAGAGCAGCTATGTGGATACGCTGTAGCTACAGCTTCCAGTGGGCCTGCAGAAGGGGGAAAAGCTAGCTTCTTACGCAGTCGCTGGAAAGCTGAACGACAGTTTCGACAGTGGGGCCAGAACTCGGTGGGATCTGATGAATCTTTGCTGCTTGTTCTGAACGTTTTGATTTTTAAACTGAGATTTTCAGCTTACTAAAACAGGCTGAATTCTTAGAAGCTTAAGCTGATTCCGGGAATGCAAGCTCCAAAAACAAATGCAGGCAGCTTTAGTTTCTAAAACACACCAGCCAAGGAGGAGTACAATGATGTACAGTGAAACCTGCAAACAGTTTGCGCTTAGTTACGTAATCAGTTACACTGTGCTGAGAGAGTACTGAAATTCTCTCAAAGCACAAATGGTCCTACTTTGGTTGTTGTAATCATACAAGCCAATTCTTTAGCTGAGTTATGGTATTCTTATTTACATCTTTAGAATACTGGTCAGAATGTTTAGCAGTCAGGAATTATATATATAAAGCAACTCTCATATTCAGTGGGTTATCGGATTCGCTTGTGACTTGCCTGAAAGAAAGCTGAGTAGTTTCAGGTTAACAAACCCGCAGAATGTCTAGCTACAGTAAAATGGCAAAATACAGTACAGAGCGAGAACTGTAACTCCGACTACCCCTTCACATGAATTCAGTAAACTCCCTTACAAAAGTCTAAAACGGCATTAGATAAAAATACAAGTATGTACAACAAGATGAGAACAACGCCACATGCATGTCCTCGCTGCACGCCCGTCTGGCGCTGTCATTTGCCACCACGCAAGTCCTCTGTGCGCGGAGTCCCACGGGATGAGACAGAGGAGCCAGCGCAGCCACTGTAGCCGACTTCCCCTCGGGTGGAAACTGACTCCCAGTCCAGGGTCCCCGTGGGCCCCGCCAGCTGGCTACATGTTGTACGCCACGTAGATGGGGTCCAGCTGGTCAGCCAGGAAGCTGTCGCGGAGGTGCATCCGCTGCTTCTCTCCTCGGGAGTTGATGGGGATGACCCCCGGGTCCACTACCACCACCACGCCCACGATGAGGTAATGCTCTTCCAGCACCACATTGGTCACCAGGGGAACCAGATCCAGGGCCTCCTGCTCAGACCCACACAGCTCCACGACCACGACAAGCAGGTTGGTCCACGTGAACACAGCACTGGAATGTTAAGGACATGCGGTTAACACGTGGCAACGCTCACCCATCCGTCCCGACAGCTACCGTCTCTCCTGGACCTGTCACCCTCCTGGGAGTGTGGCCTTGTCCCGGTGATCGCACCTGACCGACTGAGCCACTGCAGCCTTCCGCTAAGTGGGACTGAGAGTTGTCAGCGGCTCACTTGAACTTAGGACACATGGCTTTGAAAGTCACAGCGTGAGTACAGAGAAGTACAGAGAATGGCACTTCAGGGAGGAGCAGAGAGAAAATGAAGTAGATGCCCACGTGGCTGCAGTCGGTGAGGGCTATGGCTCCTGCTGGCTTTCCCGACACACAGGCTAGCTACAGCGTTCTGGAAACCTCTGAAACACCCAAGTTGTCTTTCCATCAGTTCTCTTTTCCTTTAGCTTTTATTTTTTTTAAACAAATTTGTTTTATTATTTATTTGAAAGGTAGGACATCAGAGAGAGAGATATTTTCCATTTGCTAATTCACTCCCCAAATGGCCGCAAACCCAGAGCCAGGAACTCCATCCGAGTCTCCCACATGGGTGCAAGGGTCCAACTACCAGCCACTGCCTGCTCAGGTGCATTAGCAGGGAGCAGCTAGGAACAACCATAAATCCAACTGGTAGGGAATCCGATCTCATATGAGCTATTAGTGTCCCATACAAGTGTCTTTTCATTGTGGGACAGTGCTACAGGGTGAAAGGTTGCCTTATGGTGAACTGGGTTACAAGGTATGGCCTGATTTGTGAGGTGCACTGTTAAATTACTTAAAAAAACAAAAAAAAACAAAAAAACAACACATTCTGGGGCAGGCACTCTGGCAGAGCAGGTAAAGCTGCTGACTGCAGCGCCGGCATCCCATATGGGTGCTGGTTTGAGTCCTGGCTGCTCCTCTTCTGATCCAGCTCCCTGCTGTGGCCTGGGAAAGCAGTAGAAGATGGCCCAAGTGCTTGGGCCCCTGCACCCATGTGGAGACCTGGAAGAGGCTCCTGGCTTTGGATTGGTGCAGCTCCAGCCATTGCAGCCATGTGGGGAGTGAACCAGTGGATGGAAGTCCTCTCTCTCTCTCTCTCTCTCTCTCTTTCTCTCTGTCTCTCTAACTCTGCCTTTCAAATAAATAAATAAATCTTAAAAAAAAAAAAAACCCTCATTCTAATCATTAAACTGTACATAATATTTGGCTGACTAAAAGTAGAAGGCCGTGCCAAGATGGCCGCTGGCAAGTGAGCGCCAGTTACTCAAGAGTGGCTTCGGAAACCCTCTGGCAACACAGCCTGCCTGGCAATGGGCTATGATTGGTCAGGGCATAAACTGCCCCTTGACCGGATTGGCTGCCTTGGCTATTTAAGCTGCTGCACCAACTGAAATAAATGAGTCTGCGGGCTGCTCGCCTCAGGCCTGCTTTCACTCGACTGCAGGGTCTGTGTGGTGACTCCGCGCCTCTTGCCCCCACCACGCTCCTCCTCTCAGAACGAATCCACAGCAACAAGTAGAACATCAAGTCAGAGGGTAATCATGTCACAGATTCTCTGCACTGCTTCTACCCAGCTACTTCCACATGCCTTCTACGTGCTTCTCAGTCTAATGATCTTCTCAGCTTGGTCAGAGTCTTGCTCAGGTCTGTGGGAGTGGGGCCTCTAACTAAGGCAAGAACACCTTTTGACTTGAGTACAAAAGAAACTGGGGGGCAGATGTGGTTGGAGGGAGGGAGGGAGAGATATAGAGAGGGATAGAGAAGGAGAGAGGGAGAGAGGGAGAGAGGGAGAGAGGGGGAGAGGGGGAGAGGGAGAGAGAGCGAGCAAGCCGCCGGTAGATGAGGTCTAGGTTTTAATTTTTGGGAGTTTGGGTCACTGTGGGTTGGGAGATCAGGGAGCACTCCTGGCTGGGGAGTGCACACTGAGAGAAGAGGTGGATCCTTTTCATCCATTCACTGTTTTGCAGTTTATAAAGCGCATTCTCAGTGAACCCTCTGGTGAGAGAGACCCAGGGAGAGGGAAGCACTTCTGGCTGGGCTTTTGGACCTCAAAGTCACGGTTCTTTCCCACACTACACATCGCCTCCCTAGGCAGATGATCCATTAGTCCCTTATGGGGGCCTACTGTTTATTTAAAGATTTATTTATTTTTTATTTGAAAGGTAAGAGTTACAGAGAGAGGAAGGAGAGGAAGAGGGAGAGGGAGAGGGAGAGGGAGAGGGAGAGGGAGAGAGGGAGAGAGGGAGAGGGAGAGATCGTCCATCCATTGGTTCACTTCCCAAATGGCCACAACGGTCAGGGCTGGGCCAGGTGAAAGCCAGGAGCCAGGGGCTTTTTCCAAGTCTCCTATGTGGGAGCAGAGGCCCAAGCACTTGGGCCATCTTCTGCTGCCTTCCTAGGCACATTAAGCAGGGAGTTGGCACCGTGGCGCAGTAGGTTAATCCTCTGCCTGGGATGCCAGCATCCCATATGGGCACCAGTTCGAGTTCCAGCTGCTCCACTTCAGATCCTGCTCCCTGCTATGGCCTGGGAAAGCAGAAGATGGCTCAAATCCTTGGGCCCCTGCACCCGTGTGGGAGACCTGGAAGAAGCTCCTGCCTCCTGGCTTCAGATCGGCACAGCTCCAGCCGTTGCGGCCAGCTGGGGAGTGAACGAACGGAAGGTAGACCTTTCTCTCTGTCTCTCCCTCTCACTGTCTGTAACTCTACCTCTTAAATAAATAAATAAAATCTTAAAGAAAAAAAAAAAAAGTGGAACAGCCAGGACTCCAAGTGGCGCCCATATGGGATGCTGGCGCTGCACATGGTGGCTTAACCCGCTGTACCTCAGCACCAGCCCCGGTGCCTGTTATTAAAAAAGACTGGCTTCAGAGTCTGCGTGGCCTTGGCTGGCTCCTCTGAAAAGGCCTTGGTAGCCACAGCTGAGCATGCACCCAAGACAACAATCCGTCTCTGCTCCCTTCCTCCCTCTGTGACTGCGGAAACACGGAACTGCAGTCTGTAGTGGCCGTACCATTCGGCGATGCTCCTGTGGATCCGCGACACTGAAGTCTCGATGTCGATGGGGTGGTACCTCAGGCCCCGCAGCTCCAGTGTTTCGTCCAGAGCTCCCACCACGTACAGCGCGTCATGTCGCTCTGCCAGAAAGCAGAGAGAGAGGCGCTTCACATGCACGCATGAAGACTGACGGTAAGAGAACCAGCAGCCGAAGACTCCTCGGCGCGGGGCACCCGCATGCATCCCGTCACTGCCTTGGTGACTCCCACTTCCCAGGTGGGAAACCAAGGTCAGGTGCTGACTCCTGCCATACAACAAATGGCAGACATGGGCTGCCCAAGCAGGGGCCCCTCTTCTGCACTGTGCCACTCTGGGGACACGGAGAACTGAGGGTGCCAGCCAGTGTGGAACAGACATGGGAGCTGAGAAGTAGCCAGGTCTAGTTTAGGCCTTTCAAACCTGGGGGGTTCTCTGCATCAGTTCTCCCAGTGTGTGCCACACTTAGTGTCGGGTATTGTTAAATGGTTTCTAGCACCGGGCAAGGACAAAGGCTGAAGGCAGACAGCAGTGAAGCTTTGACAATCAATGGGGCAGAGGGTGGGTGGGAGGGTCTCCAACAGCAGAGCCCTGCCCAGAGGAGGCTTGTATCCAATGCGAGACTGGAGGGGCTGGAGCGCTTAGGCAAGGCGGCTCCTCTGGGAGCAGGGCTGCTCCTCCTGGCCCGAAACAGCACCCGGCGGCAGAAGAACTGAAAGGCGCAATGCTCACCTCGGGAGCTGGCGCAGGGCTGGGGCTCAGTCCCACGGGGCCAGGGAGCAGTGTCCTGCCAGGAGCAATCCCTGCAGGCCGTCCTAACCCACAGCTCGGGACGCACATGTGGTGACCCAAGCACTCCCCTTCTAGATACTCTTCCTAGGGCACGGTGCCACTTAACAGCAGATTTAAATCCATGTGTGGGCTCAAGAGCTGTAGAGGTGGTAATCTCACACACACACACACACACACACACACACACACTCCCCACATGCAAGGGCAGGGTGAGCGTGGCCAGCTAACACCACGGAGTGGGGGGCAGGACACAGGGAGCTGCAGCAGGGGGTACCTCCGGTGGCTGCTGTGAGCTCCGTCCTGCGGACAAAGCCCAGGTAGCCTGTCCGAGCCCAGAGCGTCTGGGCAGCATCCCCAAAGCTCAGGCGAGTGTTGAAATGGTCTGCTTGAAGAGTCTCACTGTCGTAGATGGTGTAGTAGCCACTGGCTGTGTGCGGACTGTTGACCCAGATCTACAAAAGGAGGGCAGGGCAAAGGCTCACCAGCAAAATACAACCAGAGCAATTCAACCCTCTCAGGACAGATCACTCTGATTTCTTAATCCCATTTCTGCATCAGCCACAATACAAGTGCAGTAACACGGGAGCTGACATGTACTGAGGGAGGATGAGGCAGGAGTCACCATCTCCTTTCTAGCTGAGGGCCCAGCAGTGGGAGGATCTGGGACGGTATCTCATCCGGGTGCCCAAATCTCCTCTTGATCCTGGTCACAATCTTCTGTCCATTTCAGTCTTAGGCCTCACAGAAGAAGATTAACTCCATTCCCCAGTTTGGAAAAGCTAAATCCACAGTTTTCACTGGCTTCTGGAATGTGCGCTCTGCAGACTTTTCAGAGAAGAAACGAAAACCGTACACACCTCTCCCAGGTGAGAGTCTCCGACAGGGCCTTTGGTCTCGGGATTGACGATAACCACTTTCACTCCGGGTAAAATCTAAGAATCAAAGTGAAAATGCAAAGCGTGGGTTCAGTCAACTGTAAGGACATTTAGGAAATGCAGCCGCCAGCTGGAGATACAGGAGTGGCACACAGAACGGGAGCTCACCAGCCAGCCCGGCCACGCGGAGGGCACAGCTGCAGGCACCTCTGTGCATTCTCTCAGCCTCCCTCAGGGGTTATTAGACCAATGGTCTAGTGAGATTCATCCTCAAAAGTAAAACAGGAAAGTGGTCTACCTGTAGACCAGAACGATGGCGGTAAGAACTTGTACAACTTCCCTTGTCGGCAATCTAGCTCATGCACTGACACTATGGCAGTGCAAGCCCTTTAAACAGATAGGAGGCACAGCTGGAAAAACTCCATTCCTGGCTCCAGCTGCTACTGCAGTCAGAGGGACTTAGAGAGAATGGGGCAGCTGTGCAGGAGGATGGGAAGGAAAGACATCTGTGCCCCTGGGAAAGACAGCGCACGCCTGGGATCCTCACAGGAGGGAACACGAGAACCCAGTTCTGGCTGAGAGAAGGCTCAGGGCCTAAGGAAAGAAAGGCCTCTCTGGTTACCCACATTCTGTACCCCCCCCTTTTAAAAACATTCATTTATTTATGTGAAAGGAAGAGTTACAGAGAGGCAGAGAGAGAGAGAGAGAGACAGGAGAGAGAGAGACAGAGAGACAGAAAGACAGAGAGAGAGAGAGAGGTTTTCCATCCTTCCATCTGCTGGTTCACTCCCCAGATGGCCGTACCAGCTGGAACTAGGCCAATCTGAGGCCAGAACCCAGGAGCCTCTTCCGGGTCTCCCACAAGGGTACAGGGGCCCAAGTACTTGGGCCATCTTCCACTGCTTTCTCAGGCCATAGCAGAGAGCTGGATTGGAAGTGCAGCAGCTGGGACTTGAACCGGCACCCATATGCAATGCCAGCATTGCAGGCGGTGGCTTTACCTACTATGCTACAGCACTGGCCCCAAACATTCTGCCCCTTTTAAAGCTTCCCTTCAATCTCAGATTCTAACATATGAAGTTACTTGCAAGGCCCTGCAATGATTGTCCATGCTCAGACACCTAACATCTTCCTTTTTCGAGGAGAGAAAGGGCAGGGACCGCTCCCTACAGTCTGGACAGGTACTGAGGAAAATGACAAAGATCAAATTTGGTATTCTGGGGCCAGCGCTTGTGGCAAAGGTTAAGCCTCTGCCTGCAGCACATGGATCCCATATGGGTGCCTATTCTAGTCCCAGATGCTCTACTTCCCATTCAGCTCTGTGCTGTGACATGGGAAAGCAGTAGAAGATGGCCCAAGTACCTGGGCCCTTGTACCTACATGGGAGACCCGGAAGAAGCTCCCGGCTCCTGGCTTTGGAACAGCTCAGCTCCGGCTGTTGCAGCCATTTGGGGAGTGAGCCAGTGGATGAAATACCTCTCTCTCTCCCTCTTTCTGTAACTCTGCCTTTCAAATAAATAAATAAAATCCAGTATTCTTCTTGTCTCTAGATCTATATGAATCTGAAAGTATCAGCGAAGCTAAAACAGTTGAATTATCTCCAGATTTCAATTCAGTCTTGCCTTGTATTTAATTTCTCACAGGGCTTCAGGGTGGACCACAGGCTACCCCGCCAGCCTTCCCAAGGGCTCACAGAGCAATTACCTTTCCAGATTCTGAGAGAAGCAGACTCTGGGGGGCGCCGCGCTCCACCAGACGAACCCTGTGGAAGAACAGTGTTTTCCATTTACAAGCTGTTCTAAAAACAAATCCATGGTGCCCACTGTGGCTGGTTACTGCCCTCCCAAGAGCGCCAAGGCATTGCTCGTGATCACACTGGAGCAAGGTTCCTCCAACTCAGCATCAGCAAGGTTTCGGTCCGATCATTTCTTGTTGGAAGGGGCTACCCTGTGCATTGTGGGCCAACTGGCAACATCCCCGGCCTCCGCCCATAGAGGTCAGCAACAACCTCCCTGTAGTGACGAACAAAAATGCTTCTAGACCTTGTCAAACACCTTGAGGGCTGGGGCGACATCTCCGCAGGTCTGAGGAGCAGCCCAGGGAGGGGCTCAGTGCTACGGGGCACGGGGCACGGGGCACAGGGCCCGGCCCAGTCAGCAGGGCTGGCCAGGAGCCTGGTCGCAGCAGCACCATTTCCTCGAGAGGCCGTGGCGGGTGGAGGCAGGCTCAGATGCAGTGCTGCTTTGAGCCCCTACACTGCCTCCTCTACTTGCCTGGCCCATCTCACATTTTTAAACTCTTAGAGGAAAGAGACAATCCATTTTAATTTAACTTGTATCAAATGTCACAAAATACTTCTGCTCATGCAGAACCTAAGCATTACATTTTAATACTGAAGAACGGTGGGGCAACTGTGCAAATGAAAGCTGTCTTCTTATACACACAAACCTTACCAGGTATTAATAATAAAAATGAATTCCTTCCTTCTTGCCGCATCCCTCCCGGCAGACACAATCATGAAAGGAGTCAGGGAAGACGCTGACTTCAAGGTCAGAATTCCCTAGGCTGAGGAACTCTGCTAGGGAGGGAGCACACAAATGCACTGTACCTGTCGTGTCTCAGGGACTTCAGATCTACGTACACCGTAGTTGGATCAGGCCCTGAGGTTCCCTAAGGAAAAAGAAAAAAAATCACTGCATCATTTATTTTAAATGAGCTGCTGTTCCTTACTTCGATTGCCAAATCAAGAAATAGACAGTTTGGTTGTATTCACGAAAATGCCCAACGTTATTTATTTATTTATTTATTTTGACAGGCAGAGTTAGACAGTGAGAGAGAGAGACAGAGAGGTCTTCTTTCAGTTGGTTCACCCCCAAAATGGCCGCTAAAGCCGGCGCGCTGTGCCGATCCGAAGCCAGGAGCCAGGTGCTTCCTCCTGGTCTCCCATACGGGTGCAGGGCCCAAGTACTTGGGCCATCCTCCACTGCCTTCCCGGGCCACAGTAGAGAACTGGACAGGAAGAGAAGCAACCAGGAGAGAATCCGGCGCCCCAACCGGGACTAGAACCTGGGGTGCCGGCACCACAGGCGGAGGATTAGCATAGTGAGCTGCAGCGCCAGCCCCAACATTATTTTGAAAGTTCACTTTTTCTTCCACTGAGTGAGGCACAGTTGGTGCCAACGACTGAAGAGTGCCCTCTCCAAGCTACAGAAGCTCAGACCGGGTTCTGGTCCCTGTCCTGTCTTTTACCTGGGAAGAATGCCACAGCAAGGCTGGGGTCTGGCTGGAGAAGAGAACATAGCCTTACCTGTGCTCTGTTTGGGGTAAAAATGTCCAACACACGGAGGAGGCAGAAAAATCGAAGGTCAGAAATTAAGTCCCAATTAAGCCTTATGAGCCTTCCTGATTGGTCGTCATGAATCCTACGACGACGACCATGGAGTCCACATTTACCCTGGCACTTGGCTGCTGGCATGGCACTGGGTGCTCCAACCTAGCAACTCAGCGAGCCCGCAGGGCAAGTCTGTGAGGTGGGATGCCAGCTTCACTTTACAGAGGAGCAAACCAGACATGCAGAGAAGTCAAAACAAAAGGCCTGATGTCGGCCTCCCAAGTCCGCAGTACGGAACACGCCGCACTCCCCCTCTGAGTGAGTGCACAAGATTTCACCAGGATTACCTGTAAACATATCGCCAGGTTGACTCTCGACCCAAACGTGGTGCTGACAGCCCGAGGCGACAGGCCGATGTCCTTGAAGAGCTTGGAGAAGGACTGCTGGAGGGCGATGCGGGGCCGTTCCTCTGCCACCACCACGCAAGTCCGGATGCAGGAGAGATTGATGCCCCTGGTCTGCAAGACATCCATAGCCACAGGCTGAATCAGCAGCACCCAAGGAGAGCTGAACGCAGGCAGTTCAGTTCTCTGCTCCCCTTGTGGTCAGGAAAAGCCCAGGAACTGTGCATTCTCACCTCCCTCTCTCTCTCTCTCACACACACACACACACACACACACACACACACACAGCTGCTTTCAGAAAACGAAAAGGCCAAGGCATTCCACTGAAATCTCTGCCCACTAGTCAACTCACTCATTTTCTATTTCTTTCCTCTTTCAAACAAAAGTCTCAGCCTCTTGAGCAGTCCGTTTTCACTCCTCTGTTCTTCCATACCTTACATGTCTCCATATTTAATGGGGCTGAGGTAAAAATAAACCCAGAACCCTGGAGATCTGGTCTCTCGTCACTTTTTCCCATTCTTAAGGCCCCGTTTCTTTGTTACAGAAGAGTCAGCATCGTCCAGCTTTCTCACGTGCCATCAGACACACTCGCTGGAGACACACGCTACCTTTAGCTTTGGGGCAGGCCCCATACCTGCTGCTTTGAGGTTTCAGATTCTACTGGGGAAAAACTCTATTGAAAGCCACAGTTCCCTCCTATGTTTATATAAAAGTCCTTTCCATTTAGCCCTCGGGCAATCAGATTAAACTCTGAAAGAGTGCATTAAATTAGAAAAGTGGGAGACAGAGACTTCCTGAGGCTTACAAAACATCCATTGAACTGAGTAGCAAAAGGCAGGCAGGCACCCCAGAGAAGGTGTAGTGACCATGCCCTGGCCCACTTCTTTAAAATCTCGGAATAGCTCTTGTAGCAACTTTCTTACCTTTAGCACCTCCACTTGGTTTCCGAGCCCTTTAGTGCAAAGCTCCATTACTGAATAGGAGCAGAAAGTATCCCGTATTTTGTACTGGTTGACGGTGGCAAGCCAGAGGAAGAGGTTGTTTTCCAACTCCATGGGAGGAATTAAGATGGACTGGTGGCCTGAATACACACTGCAATGAAGAATGGCAAGAGAGGATGTCAGTGAGTCACCCTGGTCCCCTCCATGTCCCAGACCAGCATCAGTTCAGCAAATATTTACGGAGCGTGAAGGACAGTGTTAAGGTCACATTCGATAGAGGAGTCTAAGAATCGGCTTTGTTTCGTGCAGTCCTTATAAAATAAAGCAGGCTGCGGTAACTGAGATGTGAATAAAGGACATTGAGGCCATAGAATAAAGAGCAATTCATTCAAGCTGGGAAAGCCAAGCTGGGGATGGCAGTGTTTCACTGAGTAGGCGACACTTGGGCTGGAGCTTGAAGAATGAGTGGGAATTTGACAGTGACTGGCAGAAACGGGGATGGCAGTGAGGAAGCTCCAGGCGAAGGACGGCAAATACAAAGGTAGAAACAGCACTCTGAGTGCAGGGTACAATGAGGGGGAATGAGGCCAGAGGGCAGGAACCTGGGGCCAGCACTGTGGAGCACTAGGTCTGCAGCACCGGCTTCCCATGTGGGCACTGGTTTGAATCCCAGCTGCTCCACTTTTGCTCCAGCTCCCTGTTAATGCACCTGAGAAAGCAACGAGAGATAGTCAAAGTACGTGGACCCCTGCACTCACGTGGGAGATCCAAATGAAGGTCCTGGCTCCCGGCTTTGGCCAGGTCCAGTCCTGGCCATTGTGGACCAGCAGATGGAATAGTCTCTCTTTCTCTGACTTTTGGATAAATACATAAATCTTACTGGGGGAAAAAAAAAAAAAAAACAGGGAGGGAGGGGAGTGCAGGAACCAAAGTATCATATGAAGGCATTTTAGACTTTACCCAGAAGGCAGCTGTAGTAGCTTTATTATTTATTTATTTACTTATTTATTTATTTATTTATTTACAGGCAGAGTTAGACAGTGAGAGACAGAGAGACAGAGAGAAAGGTCTTCCTCCCATTGGTTCACACTCTAAATGGCCAACATGGCCGGCGCACTGCACTGATCCGAAGCCAGGAGCCAGGTGCTTTCTCCTGGTCTCCCATGTGGGTGCAGGGCCCAAGCACTTGGGCCATCCTCCACTGCCTTCCCGGGCCACAGCAGAGAGCTGGACTGGAAGAGAAGCAACTGGGGCAGAATCCGGAACCCCAAACAGGACTAGAACCTGGGGTACTGGCGCCACAGGCAGAGGATTAGCCTAGTGAGCCGCAGCGCCGGCCTATTTACTTATTTATTTTTAAACAGTTATTTATTTATTTGAAAGGCAGAGTCACACAGACAGGTGCAGACAGAGATCCTCTACCAGCCAGCTCACTCCCCAAATGGCTATAACAATCAGGGCTGGGCAAGGTTGAAGTCAGGAGCCAGGAGCTTCCTTCGGGTCTCCCACGTGGGAGCAGGAGCACTTGGCCATCCTCTGCTGCTTTCACAGACCATAGCAGAGAGCTGGATTGGTAGTGGAGCTGTCAGGACTAGAACCAGTGTCCATGTGGGATGCTGGCACTGCAGGTACCAGTCTAACCTGCTGCACTAGAGCACCAGTTGCCTTTTCTTCCCCCCACTGAGTGACAGAGTTTATTCAAAAGGTGAGGAAAACACACACATATGTGGGTATTGTTCAGGAATACAGTGGGCCAAGAAGGGAAAAGGATGAGGGTGAGAACTACAGAGATGATGTGCCTCAGCATCCTGTCTCATCTACAGAGGAGAGAGAGAGAGAGGGAGGGAGGCAGAGAGAGAGAGGGAGGGAGGCAAAGAGAGAGAGAGGGAGGAAGAGGGAGAGAGCAAGAGAGGAAGAAAGAAAAATCTTCCAATTGCTGGTTCACTCCCCTAATGGCTACAATGGCTGGGACTAGGTCATGCTGAAGCCAGGAGCCTGGAACTCCATCCCAGTCTCCCATGATGGTAGAAGGGGTACAAGTACTTGGGCCATCTTCCGCTGCCTTCCCAGGCCATTAGCAGGGAGAAGGACTGGAAGTGGAGCAGTTGGGACTCTGAACTCATGCTCATATGGGATGCTGGTGTCATGGTGGTTTAACCCACTGTGCACAAGGCTGGCCTCTCGTAGTAGCTTTAAATTAGGGCAAACCCAGCAACATGGAGTATGAACTAGAGACACAAGCCATTGTAGACAGAGACAGCTAGGAGATGCTGCTATAGTCCAATAAGGGGGGACAAGGGTTTGAACCCTGCAGTGCAGCCAGGACAGAAAGGCGCTGGGGTCTGCTCTTCTGCAAGAAGCAACCTGGCCTGGGCAAATGTGCGGCTGCCCCCAACCCCACCCCCACATGGCGGTCCTGTCCATGACACTCCTTCCTGCCAAGCCTCAGGGTGTGTTCTGGCTATCAAAGCATGCCATATTTCCCCCAAGTATCCTTCTCCTTGGCTGCGCTTCTGTCAAGGAGTACAGGGTCGAGTAGGGAGCAGGTAACAGGATCACTGCCTCTCCACAATGATGCTCAGAAGTAACAGAAGAGGAAAAAGGGAAGGTGCACAAAGCCAGACAAACATCAGAGATAATTAGGTGCATGAATTCTGCAATCATCAGCCTTTTACTGAAACGTCACCAAATTAAGGGAGCCAGGGGAAAGGTGAGCTGGTAGTGGCCCCAGAGCTCCCCCACACATTCTGTTTCTTTGGCTTATCCAGCCCTACCTGCAGAGACACCAGAGTGCAAAGCCAAGTCCACAGTAAGGGTCAAGGCAGATGGCGATCTGCCGAGAAGAATACAACTCACACTGGAGCTTGATGGCTCTGCACAGAGCGTTGACTGCAGAGTGGGACATCTGCAAAGTAAGGACACAGAACAGGATGGAGCTGACACCCTACAGGCAGTGAGAAGGCACGACTGACGGCTTTCAGAAGATTCCATCCCCCAAACACCCCAAGTAAGGTAACATTCTGTTCGTTACTTCCCACAAAAGCTCATGATATATAAATCTATGATTTCATGTTGACTTTAACTCTTATTGTCTGTTAGCATCTATGTTAGGGTCAGACTCTTCATCGTACTAATCCTTTGGGATAATTTATTATAGAAGAGACCAGGCTTTTATTTAAATAAAGCTGGGAGCGCTGATCCCCTGCCTCCTGGTCTCTGGGACAACCCCCTGACCTCCACATCTGGAGTTCCTGGATCGGCAGTCATCGTCACCTCTATTTTCTGCAGGTCTGGCATTTTCCCAGTGTTCAGTGAGTGAGTGGGTATGTGCAGGCTACTTTACCTTAACTCCTGTAAGCATGCCAGTTGTGGAAACACTAAAGTCAAGATAGGCCAACATCTCGGGTGTGGGAGGCTTATATAGCTGAGGCAGCCTTTTCCTGGGCAAATCATCTGCAGTGAAAGAAGAAAACCCACATCAACAGACAGGCCGGGACATGAAAAATCCCTGCTCTTAGCTGGTTTTCTGGGGCCCTGTGATGGCCAGCATTGGCTTCCGGGATTTGCTACAGCCCAGACTCCACTGAGCTTGCTCATGGCACCCCTTCAGAGGTGGGCTGGGGCTGAGGGCACCATTAATCAAGACAGGGTATTCACAAAGCTCAGGGCAAATGTGTACTATGAAAATACTAGTCATAGGTTGCAAACATTTTTTACACCAAAATAAGGTTATCTTTTAATTCATTTCTCCACAAACTTTAAAAAAAATATATTTGAGGAGCTGGCGCTGTGATGCCGTGAATAAAACCCCAGCCTGCAGAATCAGCATCACATATGGGTTCCAGTTTTGAGTCCTGGCTGCTCTACTTTTGATCTAGCTCCCTGCTAATGCGCCTGGGAAAGCAGCAGAGGAGGGCCCAAGCCTGTGGGACCCTGCACTCCCATAGGAGACCTGGAAGAAGCTCCTGGCTCCTGACTTTGGATCTGCTCAGCTTCAGTTGCTGTGGCCATTTGGGGAGTGGACCAGCAGATGGAAGACCTCTCTCTCTCTATTTCTCTATATAAAACTCTTTCAAATAAATAACACAGATCATAAAAAAATGTATTTGAAAGGTGAGTGACAAAGAGAAAGGGAGAGACAGAGAGAGAGAAAGAGAGAGATCCTCAACCTGCTGGTTTACTTCTCAAATGGCCACAACAACCAAGACTAGCCCATGCCACAGCCAGGAATTCCATCCAGTTCTCCCACGTGGGTGGCAGGGCCCAAGTACTTAGACCAATTTTTTCTGCTTTCCCAGGCACATTAGCGGAAATCAGGATAGAAAGTGGAGCAGCCTGGACTCAAACCAGCACTTTGAAATGGGACTGCAGCATTGCTAGTAGCGGCTTAACCTGCTATACCACAACAGTGATCACACACACTTTTTGAAGTAACCTTACATAAGGAAGCAAATTTACATCAGGTAAACTTAAGACAGTTTTACTAAGGGGTAATGTAACATAGTAGAAAACAGACTGCTAGTGCTCAAATCTCAGTTCTAGCTTTTATCAGTAATGTGACCTTAGAATTATTTCAGTTCTTTGTGTCTGTTTTGCTGTTCTCTAAAATGGATCTCTTAAAAAAATACCGACCTATGTAGAATTGTTGAGGAGTTAATTTACGAAGAAACCATTAGGTTTGTTATCATTCTGGTTTCAAGAAGCTCATTACTTACAGTTTAGTAGGTGTTATGTTAATCATAGACGGCTTTAAAAGTTGGGCTGTTTTCCTCCAAGTTAACCTAGCAGGATTTTGGGAATTATGTCTTTTGCTCAGTCATGATGCCTCTCATTTTCCAACCCCCAAATTGCTTTACAAGCATGCTGACACTAAGGATGTCAAGGATAATTCCGGCTGAAACCTTGCCTCTCTAACAGCTCCTTTGGCTTGTGGGATCAAGACAAGATTCTAACTCAGAATTTTATATCTCCATGTTATTCAGTGCCCATTTCTGGTTAAACCAAAAACCTAATCACCTCTGGCCTGGCTTCATGTAGAGTAGGGTCACAAATGTGGTCACTCATGTGCCCAGGGAAACTTTTCTATTGTCTGTTATATGCTCACACTTCAGTCCATTAACCATATTAGATCTATTTGTAACATTAACATCAACATAATCCATCTGTGTTATGTATTATACGTGACTGTGCTTCTGTCCTTAACTTAACAAATATAAAACATCTAATTCAGCATCTGGCACACAATAATCACAAATACATGTCATGCGGGGCTGGCATTGTGGCGCAGTGGGTTAACGCTCTGGCCTGAAGTGCTGGCATCCTATATGGGCACCGGTTCGAGTCCCAGATGCTCCTCTTCTGATCCAGTTCTCTGCTGTGGCCTGGAAAATCAGAAGATGGCCCAAGTCCTTGGGCCCCTGCACCCACATGGGAGACCCAGAAGAAGCTCCTGGCTCCTGGCTTCAGCTTGGCGCAGCTCTTGCCATTGTGGCCAATTGGGGAATGAACCAGTGGATGGAAAATCTTTCTGCCTCTCCTCTCTCTGTGTACTCTGACTTTCAAGTAAATAAATAAATCTTTAAAAAAAACCACATGTCATGCCTATGTTTAATTCCATATAAATGGTGCTGATACAATACTTGGTGAAAAAAAGTTAGGGAGGAAATTAATGGTTAAGAGACTGGGAAATGGCCGGCGCCGTGGCTCAATAGGCTAATCCTCTGCCTTTCAGCGCCGGCACACCGGGTTCTAGTCCCAGTCGGGGTGCCAGATTCTTTCCCGGTTGCCCCTCTTCCAGGCCAGCTTTCTGCTGTGGCCTGGGAAGGCAGTGGATGATGGCCCAAGTGCTTGGGCCCTGCACCCCATGGGAGACCAGGATAAGTACCTGGCTCCTGGCTTCGGATCAGCGTGATGCGCCGGCCGCAGCGGCCATTGGAGGGTGAACCAACGGTAAAAGGAACACCTGACTCTCTCTCTCTCACACTATCTACTCTGCCTGTCAAAAAAAAAAAAAAAAAAAAAAAAAAAAAAAAAAAAAGACTGGGAATGAGGCCGGCCCCGCGACTCAATAGGCTACTCCTCCACCTAGCAGTGCTGGCACACCGGGTTCTAATCCCGGTCGGGGCGCCGGATTCTGTCCCAGTTGCCCCTCTTCCAGGCCAGCTCTCTGCTGTGGCCTGGGAGTTCAGTGAAGGATGGCCCAAGTGCTTGGGCCCTGCACCCCATGGGAGACCAGGATAAGTACCTGGCTCCTGCCTCTGGATCAGCGTGGTGTGCTGACCGCAGCGCGGCGGCCATTGGAGGGTGAACCAACGGCAAAAAGGAAGACCTTTCTCTCTGTCTCTCTCTCTCACTATCCATTCTGCCTGTCAAAAAAAAGAGAGAGAGACTGAGAATGGAGCCACACTGGCTGGGTTTGAATTTCAGTTCTGCTCCTTATGTAACTTTCCTATCCCTCGGTTTTCTTATCTGCAAAATGAGGATAAAAATAGCACCCATCAGGCATCCCATAGCGGAGCACCACCAGTTCAAGTCACGGCTGCTCTGCTTCTGATTCGGCTTCCTGCTGTGGCATCCTAGGAGGCAGCAGACGGTGGCTCCAGTGCTTAGGCCCCTGCCAGCCACGTGTAAGATCCAGATGGAGTTTCTGGCTCAGACCTGGCTGTTGCAGGCATCTGGGGGCAAACCAGCAGAGAGAAGATCTCTCTGTCTCCGTTGTTCTGCCTCTCAAGTAGATGAAAATAAGTAAATAAACAAACACTTCTAAAAATTAAGGTTAAAATGTTTAAAAACATAAAAAATAGTACCTAACAGGATTGTTGTACGGATAAAATTAGGCAGCCCATGTTAAACGACTGACACATCACTAGGGCTCAATAACAGAAGCTGTCATTCTGCTTACATGCTACTTGTTCTACTAGCTCATCTTTAGAACGCTCCCCTTATGGTTTTGTCCAGGCAAGACAGGAATACTCAGGCAGTACTACAGATATTCGGACTTAAATCCCATAGGCCTGACTCCAAACCCTACATTCTTCCCCTAATCCATTGAGTCTCCAAGTTTCTTTGTCTTACATCCTTTATTTTTTTTTTAAAGACTTATTTATTGATTTGAAAGGTAGAGAGGCAGAAGAGAGGCAGAGAGAGAGAGAGAGAGAGAGAGAGGTTTTCCATCTGCTGGTTCACTCCCCAAATGGCTATAAATCAGCCAGAGCTGGGCAATCTAAATCCAGGAGCCAGGAGCTTCTTCCAAGTCTCCTATGCGGGTGCAGGGGCCCAAGGACTCGGTCCATCTTCCACTGCTTTCCAAGCCATAGCAGGGAGCTGTATCGGAAGTGGAGCAGCTGGGACTCGAACCTGTACCCATATGGGATGCTGGCACTGCAGGCAGTGGCTTTACCCGCCATGCCACAGTGCCTGCCCCATCAGTTTTTTTATGTATTTTTTTTTTAACATGAATACCAGCTAACAGTCAGCATTTTGTGGCTTTAAAAGTATTTCCATTTATCTTGCATTTGATCTTGTTGATAAACATGTGACTCAGATAGGGGTAAGCAGTATTTTCATAAAGAGTAATCTCAGTTAGCGGTACCCTGGCAATAAATAACGGAGCTCTAACCAGAACCCAGAATTTCTAACCCTGGTCCAATTTTGTTTCTACAACATCATATCTCGAAGTAAAGGACCTGATAATCCCATTATGTCATGTGGCCCCACACACACAGTCACATCCAACATAAAAAGCTAACCATCTTCCAATGGTGCCAAGAAAAGCAGCCAGACACTATGTTTAAAGAGCTTGCAGCACATGTGACTGGGGTCTCTGGCAGTGTAAGGTGACTAGATTTCAGGCGCATATGGGATGTGCGGTGACATCCAAGGTGTGTGTGTACTTGTGGCATGAGGCCCAGGCGGCCCCAGGGAACACATGTTCTTGCTCTCTCGGCAGCACTGGAGTGACCCCCTTTCACCTGTGTCAATGATGGTAGGCCAGGTTTTCACATCCACAGCTGCGGCCGCCTCTCTGGACCTCAGCAATCGCATTAGGGTCTGGGTGGTGAGGATACAGGCTGCTTTGCTGACCTGGAGAACAAATGCAGAGCAGTGAGTATCAGGAGGCTTGGTCCTGATGAGCACCGTGGGCTACTGCTGTGCTAATGGCACTTGTCACACCACACTGGACATAGCAGCACCAGTTTCTCAAAGAACACATAGAGGACAGGAGGTGGGTATCCCCATCTTGCGTTTTTCCTTCTGGTAATGTGTAACATGTCATTCTCTCAGAACAACAGAACTGTTTACAACACAAATTACTGCCTATAGCAGTGTTCTCAAATATTGCATAGTTGTATTCTCAGTATGGGTCCCAAAGTCAATGATTTCATGAAGACCCTAACAATAAAGACCTGGATACTGCCATAGTCGGGGAACGAGAGGAGTCAGAAAATCGTGTTTGAAGGAGTCAGTACCGGCCACAGTCCAGCGAACAGTGAGGCTTGCTAGCTCAAGAGTGCCACTGACCCCTAGAAACACCGATGCAGACAAAAGCTCTCACAGAGCCTCAGTTCTGCCCAGCTAGGCTTGCAATTGCAAGTGACCTACACTGCCTACAAAGCGTGCTAACGGAAATACACTCTATTCCCTCTTCCTCTGGCCCGCTTTGTAGAATACGACAAGGGCATTTTGCTGAATTAAACTTGGTAACAAAATTATTTATGGGAAACTTGGCTTTTATGCTACATGCTCAAGTTGCTGACAAAGCTGCAGTCTCAGACAAATACTACATAAATTGGAATTCGGTGACCTCTCAGTACACTGGCCAAGACTGGCCTTGCCTTTGAAGCACATTAGGGCATGACAGTATATAGGTTTATCTTTTCTTCCTCAATTCTCAGATCCTAGAAAAATTTCTAAATCATCCTCAGAGCAGGAAATGGACACCTTCTATTGCAATGCCAAGTGAATTTACAAACTAGCCCTCCAAAAGTGACCTGACATTGGAGAAATTAGGTTTGGCATAAGAAATTGCGTTGGTCACTGTGCAGCAAAAAATATCAGATGGATAATACATTTTAAGAAGGGGGAAACCCAAGCTTCATGGGGAATTATCAGCGGCATGTCCCCACTGAGCACTCCCCAACAGCACCCCCGTGGCATAATGACGGACACATGGGGCCAATTAAGTAAAGGGCTGAAGTTCTCAGGAGACATATTTGACTTCCAATGAGGCTGGGAAATTAGCAAGGATCTGCAGCTGTATGAAACGAGGATGAGAGCGAGTACTCACGTCAACAATCATGCGCACAGTGGGCAGCGTGGCTGTGAGGTTCTGAGCATGTGGTGGTCGCACAGTCACGGGTATACACCCCGCGTACAGGCAGCCATAGAACGCAGCAATCAACTCAATGCCTACAAGACAAGAGAGTCTCTTCACTGCCTAGGGTTTCTGAGAACCTGAAAGGCAGACCTTCCAAAACCAAGGCGGTCTGCAGACCACAATGTAACAGGGGAAAACTAAGAAGAAAGTGCAGGTGAAGGAGGAAGCACATCAGATGACTTTAAAAATGGAGACGCCTAAACTGACTAATGAGGAAGGAACCGAGAAGTAAACTCTTAAAGGATGCCAGAGAAGGTGTTATAGTTTTATCATCTGATGTGTCTTAGGAGAAATAACTGTAGAAATTACAGATGCTTAGCTTGGAAAATAAAACAGGAGAAAGAGAAGGAACATTTGAACTTTTACATTTGAACTTTTACAAAGTATTCAGAAGCCACTACATGAAGACATCACTCCATCAGTGGGCGCCAGTTTCAGGGAGGCAAAGCAGAGCTTGCTGTGACACAGCCTGTGGGCAAGGGGGTCCTCAGAGTGTCCTGGTCCTTGACCACGTCATTCACTGACAGATGCAGACACAGGAACATGGCTCTGTGTGTGTGTGTGGGGGGGGGGGGTTTATACCAGATGCTCTTCTCAGAAACTTTATGTTTTGTGCAAACAGCACAGTAGAAAATCAGAGATGGGGGCAGCGCTGTGGCGCAGTGGGTTAATGCCCTGGCCTGCAGTGCTGGCATTCTATAAGGGCACTGGTTCTAGTCCCAGCTGCTCCACTTCCGATCCAGCTCTCTGCTATGGCCTGGGAAAGCAGTGGCAGATGGCCCAAGCTCCTGGCTCCTGGCTTCAGATCTGTGCAGCTCCAGCTATTGTGGCCAATTGGGGAGTAAACCAGCAGATGGAAGACCTCTCTCTCTCTCTCTCTCTGCCTCTCTGTGTAAATCTGACTTTCAAATAAATAAATAAATCTTAAAAAAAAAATCAGAGAATACAATCAAGTAAGGGGGAGAAACAACCAAAGAATGCTGAGTATATGAGTGGTTAGCAACAGAAGGAGTAGAAGGGACAACTATTTTACCTAAAATTTTGAGTAGTTACACTAAACTGTCAACAAATAATTTTTTTAAAGATATATTTATTTATTTGAAAGGCAGAGCATCAGAGACAGAGAGAGAAGGGGGTTATATCTTCATCTGCTGGTTGACTCCCCAAATGGGTCAGGTCAGACCAGAGCCAGGAGCCGGGAGCTGGGAGCCAGGATCTCCATTCTGGTCTCCACACGTGTGTGGCAGGGGCCCACATATTTGAGCTATCACCCGCTGCCTTCCTGGCTAGACTGCAAGCAGAGCAGTGGGGACTAGAACCGGCACTGCAAGATGGGATGCAGGTGTTGTAGGAGGCAGCCTAACCCACTGTGCCACAACATGGGCCTGTCGCCAGATAATTCTAATTCACTCTTATTATAATGAGGTTGTGAATTATATTAGAACATGAAAGAAGAAAGTAGGACTAATAGAGGACTACTGAAAAATAAGTCCAAGGAACTGACAGACATGCTCTTTTGGAAACTGAGTCTCAGTCCATTGGTGAGCACTACTAGAGACAGTGTCTGTTGAAGGGGTTCTAAAAGTCAGGGGGCAAAGGTTTGCATTCATGCAACATTTACCGAGTGCCTTCTTTGTGCCAGGCACTGATAATGGAAATACAGGAGTAAATAAAACAGACCGATCCCAGCAAAGCCTTAGTACTACACACCGTGGCAGATGAGGCTTGGTTCACCGCTCGGCCTGTGAGCACTGCACTCTCAGTGTTGGGAAGTACACAGCCACGTGGGCATGGAGGGTGGCTCTCTGATTTGTTACTGACTAATGCAGTTGAAGTTGAGTCTACACAGTCAACACTTACCAGGTGGATAGAGCAACACCACATTGTCTCCTGCATTTAGATGTCCCTTATCACCAAGAACTGCTGCAATTCTCTCGGCTCGCTTGTGGAGCTGAAGGCAGCTGGCTGTGCACACGGTCGTTCCCTGTAAACAGGACAAGGGACTTGTGGGTCAAAGCGTGGAAGCAAATGAATGGTAAGAAATACAGCCAATCCAACGTCATCCATGGAAAGCTTGCATTTTATCCTTAGCAGGCTATCAATTCTCATGAAAATTCCCCCAATCTCAAAACACACACGCGGGAGATCCACCCCCGCCCCCGCCGCCCTTTTTAAATGCATGTAGGTACTCTAGGACATTTTGTTTTATTTATTTATTTACTTGAGAGGTAGAGTTACAGACAGAGAGAAAGGTCTTCCATCCGCTGGTTCACTCCCATATGGCTGCAATAGCTGGAGCTGATCTGAAGCCAGGAACTTCTTTTGGGTGTCCCATGAAGGTTCAAGGCCCAAGCATTTGTGCCATCCTCCACTGCTTTCACAGCTGCATTAGCAGAGAGCTTGATAAAAACAGTAGTGAACTGGTGCCCATATGGGATGCCGACACCCCAGGTAGAGGCTTAGCCTCCCATGCCATAGTGCCAGGCCCTGGTACTCTAGGATTTTTAACATTAACTTAAATCAAATACATTAATTTACAGTGTTTCTTGCTTAAGGTACTTTGAAAAATACATATAGGGGCCAGTGTTGTAGTGTGGTGGGTTAAGCCACCTTGTGCAATGCTGGCGTCCCCTATCTGTGTTGGTTCATGTCCCAGCTGTTACACTTCTAATCCAGCTCCCTGTTAATGGCCTGGGAAAAACAACAGAAGGTAAGTCAAGTGCTTGAGCCCCTGCCACCCACATAGGAGAACCCAAAGAAGCTCTTGGGTTCAGCTTAGCCCAGTCCTAGCCATCTGGGAAGCGAACCAGTGGATGGAAGATTGATCTCTCTTTCACTCTCTGTAACTCTGGCTTTCAAATAAATCTTAAAAAAAAAAGAAGAAGAAAAATACATAATTTTTTGAAATTTTCTTGGAGAAAATAAGAGTGGAAGAGCATTAATGGGAACAAAGGAGTGAGGTCAACAAATGTTGCTTAGTGGTCATGGACATTTGCAGTACATAAAACACAAACTTGGCTCTGAGTTTGCTAAGAGAAAGGATCTAAACAAAAATAGTAATCAGAACACACTAGTTAAAAATAAAGACGAGAAAACAGTGAACTATTCCTGACCCTGAGAATAATTTCTCCTGCAGGTCTTAAGTTTCTCTGAACTTGTCTTTTTGAACCCCTTCTTGTAAAATATACTACATGTTTGAAACCAGTGCTGTGGCACAGTAGGTTAAGCCTCTGCCTGTGGTGTCAGTATCCCATGTGGGAGCTGGTTTGAATCTGGGCTACTCCACTTCCGGTCCAGCTGCCTGTTAATGTGCCTGGGAAAGCAGCAGAAAATGGCCCAAGTGCTTGGGCCCCTGCACCTGCATGGGAGACCTGGAAGAAGCTCCTGGCTCCTGGTTTCATATCAGCGCAGCTCCAGCCTTTGTGGCCATTCAGGGAGTGAACCAGCAGATGGAAGACCTCTTTCTCTCTCTAACTCTACTTCTCAAATAAATAAATAAATCTTTAAAAAAAATACTACATGTAAGGAACAGCACACACAACGTGCACGTGTGGGATGAAATCCTATCAAGTGTGTGAGCAAACTCCAACATGACATGAAAAAGACAGCCGCCAGCTCAGAAGTACCCCAGGGGCCTACTCCCAGCCCTCTTTTCCTGCCTTGATTGTTCACATTAATCGTAGATTTGAGTTTTCAATAAATGGAACTGTACTATAGATACTCCTTGGTGTGCTACTTCTGTCATAAAACATTAAAAGTCTCCTCTGCTGCTGTGTGCCAGCAGGTACAGCTCACTCATCTTTGTTACTGTGTTCAGTTTATGAACACAAGAGAGCTTACTCATCCATTCTTCCACTGACAGACAAGAGTCATCTTGTATGTGTATCCTTGTGCTTAAATGTATGAACTTTATCAGTTTACAGACCTAGAAATTCAATGGCTGGGTCACAACTTTACTGAAAAATTCCAAACTGGGCTCTGAATGGTTGTTCTTTGTCTATCAAGCCAAATAGCCACACTATCTCAATTACTGTAATTTTAGAGTTTGTAAAAAACTTAAACATAATTTTTACTGCATAGCTTAAGAAAACATAACTTTCTTATTTCACTAATATAAAATACACAGTGGAGTCGGTGTTGTGGTACAGTGGGTTAAGTTACCACCTGTGATGCTGGCATCCCAAATAGGTGCCAATTTGAATCCCAGCTACTCCATTTCTGATCCAGCTCCCTGCTAACCACCAGGGAAGGCAGTGGATGAGGGCACAAGTACTCAGGCCCCTGCCTCCCACGTGGGAGACCTGATGGAGTTTCTGATTCCTAGCTTCTGCTGGCCCAGCACTGGCCATGGCAGTCATCTGGGAAGTGGACCAGTGGATGGAAGAATAGGTTAAGGATACAGGCTCTAGGGGTGGCCATTTGGTATGGTGGTTAAATCACTGCTTGAAACACCCTCATCCCATATCAGAGTGCTTGGGTTCAAGTCCTGGCTCTGCTTCCAATCCATTTTCCTGCTAATGCACACCCTGAGTGGCAGCAGGTTCAAGTACTTGGGTTCCTGTTACCCACAGGAGCCAGAGAGAGAGAGAGGGAGAGAGAGAGAGGGAGAGAAAGAGATCTTCCATAGTTGTTTCACTCCCCCAAATAGCCAGGATGGGTCAGGGTGAAGCCAGGAGTCTAGAACTCTACCCAGATCTCCCATGTGGGTGGCAGGGGCCAAGCACTTGCTTCCCCAGGCACATTAGCAGGGAACTGGATTGGAAGTGGAGCAGCTGCGACTTGAACCAGCAGCCATATGGGACAGCTTAACCTGCTACACCACAATGCTGGCCCCCTCTCTGCCTTGTAAATACATACATACAAACATTCGTAGAGATTATTAAAAAGAATGTGGATTCTGAAGCCAGTCTGAGTTCAAATCAAAGTAAACAGCTAATGTCCTAGCTCTGGCACTAACTAGCCCTTTGACCCCTGTGCCTTGACTACTTCAGCTTTGTGATAAACTGTGAGATGCAAAGCACCTACAACAGGATCCTTGGTGCAGACCTGACAGCACTTTATATCCTATTTTTCCACTCAACATTATGAGTATTTTCTTTATCATCAGATATTCTTCCATACCATTGCCTGGAATAGCTGCATAGTATCTAATCATATTTATGTGCCAAAATTTATTTAGCTAGCTTGCTATTGGACACTAGGTTATAACGCGAAAATGAATATCCCTTTAACTAAAGTCAAGGTTACAGTCATAAGACCATTTCTTTCTTTTTAGGATCTATTTATTTATTTGAAAGTCAGAGTTACAGAGATAGATGGAGAGAGAGAGAGGGAGAGAGAGAGATCCTCCATCTGCTGGTTTACTTCCCAAATGGCTGCAACAGCTAGGCCTGGACCAGAACAAAGACAAGAGCCAGAAACTACATTCTGGTATCTCATGTGGGTTCCAAGGGCCCAAGCACCCACAGCACCTTCTGCCGCTTTCACAGGCCATTACCAGGGTCAGAAATGGAGCAGCTGAGCCACAAACTAGTGCCCATATGGGATGCTGGCATCACAGGCGGTGGCTTCACCCACTACACCACAGCGCTGTCCCCAAGACCATTTCCTCTTTTTGGTCCATGGTACAGCAGCAAACTGAAGTTCAGTAAATGCAAGCAGCAAGGCATGAAGAAACAGTGGGTGACTGCTAAGCCTTCTGGTGGGATGAGTTAACCCAATGTAAAATATTAGAATATTCACGAGAATGGGAAAATGTGGGGCGGTGGGGGGAAGGAGAGGTAATATCATTATGTTCTTAGAATTGTATCTACAGGGCTGGGGTTGTGGTGTAGAAGGTCAGGCACTGCCTGCGATGCTGGCTTCCCACATGGCCATCAATTTGGGTCCCAGCTGCTCCACTTCTGATCCAGCCCCTGATGGTGTACTTGGGAAGGCAGCTGAGGACGGCCAGTTGGTGGGACCCTGCACCCATGAGGGAGACATGGGGGAAGGTTGTGGCCCCAGATGGGCCCAGCTCCAGCTGTTGCAGCCATATGGAGAATAAACCGGTGGATGGAAGCTCTCTGCCCCTCTCTGTAAACTCTGCCTTTCAAATAATTAAATAGGGACTAGCGCCGTGGCACAGTGGGTTAAAGCCCTGGCGTACAGCACGAGCATCCCATATGTGTCCTGGTTCAAGTCCCGGCAGCCCCACTTCCAATCCAGCTCCCTGCTAATGCACCTGGGAAAGCAGCAGAGGATGGCCAAAGTGCTCGGGCCCTTGTACCCACATGGAGACCCGAAAGAAGCTCCTTGCTTCTGGCTTCGGATTGGCTCGGCTCTGGCCATTGCGGCCATTTGGGGAGTGAACCAGCAGATGGAAGACCTTTCCCTCTGTCTTTAGCTCTCTTCTGTAATTCTTCCAAATATATAAAATAAAATAATAAATAAATCTTAAAAATAATTTTATCTACTAATCACATTGAATCTGTTAAAAACTAATTAAAATCTAAAATTAAAAAATACAATATACAGAAGAATAAATAAGAGGCCAGTGTTGTGGTGTGGCAGGTCAGGGCAACACTAGCATCCATATGCGTGTAGGTTCAAGTCCTGGCTGTTCCACTTCCAATCCAGCTCCTTGCTAACGGACCTGGGAAAACAGCAGAAGATGACCCAAGTGCTTGAGCCCCTGCCACCCACATTGGAGACCTGGATGAAGATTCCGGTCCATTGTGGTCATTTGGGGAGTAAATAAATGGATGGAAGATCTTTGCCTCTCCCTCTGCGTGTAACTCTGCCTTTCAAATAAATACTAATTTAAAAATAAAAGTAAATGCATTACATGTCCTTTAGACAGCCATCCACGTACATGATTTCTCTAACCAATTAACACATTTTTTTTTTTTTTTTTGACAGGCAGAGTGGACAGTGAGAGAGAGAGACAAGAGAGAAAGGTCTTCCTTTTGCCGTTGGTTCACCCTCCAATGGCCGCCACGGCCAGCGCGCTGCAGCCGGCGCACCACGCTGATCCAAAGGCAGGAGCCAGGTGCTTCTCCTGGTCTCCCATGGGGTGCAGGGCCCAAGCACCTGGGCCATCCTCCACTGCACTCCCTGGCCACAGCAGAGAGCTGGCCTGGAAGAGGGGCAACCGGGACAGAATCCGGCGCCCCGACCCGGACTAGAACCCGGTGTGCCAGCACCGCAAGGCGGAGGATTAGCCTAGTGAGCCACAGTGCCAGCCCCAAGTAACACATTTAAACCTGTGCTCATGACCAAATATCTGGGGTATAGATTTCTCAGCACCATGATTGAAGCCAGGCCTGGGAGTGAGGGAGGGAAGTAAGCTAGACTTTCCAGTATCTATAAGATAAATAACTATTTTTAATTTTTATTTCTTTAACCTATTTTATTTGGTGCAGAGAGAGAGAGAGAAAGAGATAAAGAGATGGAGGGAGATCTCTTAACCACTGGTTTGCTGTCCAAATGCTAGCAAATGGCCATCGTCTCCTATGAGGATGGCAGGGACCCAAGTACTTGAGCCATCACTTGCTGACTCCTGCAGTTTCCTGCTAATGCAGAACCTGGGTGGCAGCAAGTGATGGCTGAGAAGTGGAGGTGGGACTTGAACCCTGGCACCCTGTTTGGAATGTGGGCAAGTGCTATACCAAAGACACAACCTGACATCTTTTTCGCCTTAAGATTTTATTTCTTCATTTGAAAGGCAGACACACACACACACACACACACGCACACACACAATGGGGGGGGGTGGAAAGGGAGAGGGAGAGGGAGAGAGGAGACAGAGACAGAAAGAGAGAGAAACAGGGTGAGCTTCCACTCTTTGGTTCACTCCCCAAATGTACATGACAGCCAGGGCTGGGCCAGGCCAAAGCCAGAAGCCTGTAACTCCATCTGGGTCTTACACATGGCTAGCAAGGATCCAGGCACATTACCCATCTCAGGGTGCACGTTATTAAAAAGCTGGATCTGAAATAGAGGCAAGACTTGAACTCAGGCACTCTGATATGGGTTGTTGGTGATACAGTTATTGTGCCAAATGCCCACCTGTCCCCCTTACCTTCCAGACGCCCCTGCTCCTCTGACTGACATCTCCTTAATTAACTGTAAGGGCCTTAATGAACTCACAGCTGGGAGAGAAGCCCACTTCATATAGAGGTGGGATAAGAAAGTCTCAAAGTCTTCTGTCATAAAATCAGTGGTTCTGAAGATTTTTAATGACTTTTTTTTTTTAAGATTTATTTATTTGAAAGTCAGAGTTACACAGAGAGAGGAGAGGCAAAGAGAGAGAGAGAGGCCTTCCATCTTATGGTTCACTCCCCAATTGGCCCCAATGGCCGGAGCTGCGCCGATCCGAAGCCAGGAGCCAGGAGCCAGGAGCTTTTTCCGGGTCTCCCACGTGGGTGCAGGGGCCCAAGGACTTAGGCCATCTTCTACTGCTTTCCCAGGCCATAGCAGAGAGCTGGATCGGAAGAGGAGCAGCCGGGACTAGAACAGTGCCCATATGGGATGCCGGTGCTTCAGGCCAGGGCATTAACCCACTGCACCACAGTGCCGACCCCAGATTTTTAATGACTTTTAACTAAGATGCAAAACGCATTCCTCTCATTAAGTTCTAAATTCTTGCACAGCATAAATTCTAAAAACAATCAGATTTAAGAGGTAGGGACAGATGGGCGCAATTTAGGTAAGTCCCTTAAGAGATTCAACAGGCCCCTCCAGCCTCCCCTTACTTGTGAGTTAACACTGCAATACACACAATCACTATACCTGCAACTCCACCATTAAAGCAAACAAAAACTCAGCTGACTTAAAAAAGACAATATTAGAGTGAACCATCCATTAGAAACGAGTGGTTACATTCACTCTTAAGTAATTTTCAATCTGCTTTTAGTCAGTTAACAATAAATTTGGGGGCCGGTGCCGTGGCATAGTGGGTAAAGCCACCAGTCCACAGTGCTGGCATCCCATATGGGTACCGGTTGGAGTCTCAGCTGCTCCATTTCCAATCCAGCTCTCTGCTACAACCTGAGAAAGCAGCAGAGGATGGCCCTAGTGCTTGGGCCTCTGCACCTGTGTGGGAAACCCGGATGAGGCTCCTGGCTCCTGGCTTTGGATCAGTGTAGCTCCGGCCACTGCAGCCAACTGGGGAGTGAACCAGCGGATGGAAGACCTCTCTCTGTCTCTCCTCTAACTCTTTCAAATAAATACAATAAAAAAAAAATAAGGGCTGGTGCTGTGGTATAACCAGTAAAGCCACCACCTGCAGTGCCAGCATCCCATATGGGTGCCAGTTTGTGTCCTGGCTGTTCCACTTCCTATCCAGCTCTCTGCTATGGCCTGGGAAAGCAGTGGAAGATGGCCCAAGCCCTTGGGTCCCTGCACCTGTGTGGGAGTCCCAGAAGCTCCTGGCTCCTGGCTTTGGATTGGCGTAGCTCCGGCCTTTATAGCCAATTGGGGAGTGAACCAGCGGAAGAACCATGGAAGACCTCTCTCTCTCTGTGTAACGCTTTCAAGTAAAATAAGTAAATCTTTAAAAAACAAAAAACAAAAAACAAAAAACATTCCAGGCTGGCGCCGTGGCTCACCAGGCTAATCCTCCGCCTTGCGGCGACGGCACACCAGGTTCTAGTCCGGGTTGGGGCGCCGGATTCTGTCCCGGTTGCCCCTCTTCCAGGCCAGCTCTCTGCTGTGGCCAGGGAGTGCAGTGGAGGATGGCCCAGGTGCTTGGGCCCTGCACCCCATGGGAGACCAGGAGAAGTACCTGGCTCCTGGCTTCAGATCAGCGTGGTGCGCCGGCTGCAGCGCGCCGGCCGTGGCAGCCATTGGAGGGTGAACCAATGGCAAAGGAAGACCTTTCTCTCTGTCTCTCTCTCTCTCACTGTCCATTCTGCCTTTCAAAAAAAAAAAAAAAAAAATTCCCATTTTAAAAAATAATAAAATAAAAATTAGTAATTTAAGTATGTACTAAAAATAACTTTGCTTTGAACTGGTCTGAAATAATTTTCTTTTTGGCCAATCTCAAAAAATTAAAAGTCAAATTGGGAAGTGGAGGCATTGTGGCATAGAAGGTTAAGCTTGGGATGCGGGCATCTCACATGGCCACTGGTTGGAGTCCCAGCTGCTCCACTTCTGATCCAGCTCCCTGCTAATGTGCCTGGAACAGTAGCAGAGGATGGTGTAAGTTCTTGGGCCTTTGCCACCCAATCCAGGTTCCTGGCTTCAGACTGGCTTGTCCCTGGTCATCATGGCCATTTGGAGGCTGAACCAGCAGATGAAAGATCTTTTATCTTTCTCTAACTCTTTCAAATAAATAAATAAATCTTAAAAAAAAAAAAAGTCAAATTGGGTAAAAAAAAAAACCTATAATGACATAATGTATTGCACACATTCGTCTACCTGTGTAAAGGTACCACTGGTCCCATCATTCTTATCAAGGCTGCCTGAGATACTCCCACAGGATTCAGGTGATTAGATATACAATCAAAATTGTAATACCTTGGCATTTAACAGCATGAAGAGTACGTGGTCAGGAGTTGCCTGGGCTCGCCACTGTAAAATCTCTGCCAGAAACTGGTGCTGCAGTCATAAAGCAGAAAAGACTCAGGGTCAGCAACTTCTCAACAGCTGCCCAATGCATCCCCCACATGCTACCTGAACTGAGTTCTGTCCTTACACTTCTCGGTAAAAGGTCAACTCCCCAGGAACACTTACCTTCCTCACCAGGTCGTTCTCTTCAATTTGCCCCAAATCCCTGCCTGCAGCTTGTGCAATGCGTTTTCCGGCCACCAGATTCCCAACCATCACAGAAGCAGGGCCAACACCTGGAAGTAAAGACAACATCAGCTCTGCAGAGGACAACCCAAGCCATGGGCCAGCAGTGCACTCCCAGTTTCACTAAAACTCGCTCACACATTTCTTAGCTAGGCCCTGGCAGCACGGAGCTTATACCCTAGCAGAGGAAGGCAACCAAGAAGTACATAAACAAATGCAGTCAGACAGTGGAAGTTCTAGGAGAAAAATGACAAAACAGGGGAGATGGGGGTTGGGGGACAGAGGGCAACAAGCAGGCCACTATAGCTGGGGTGTTTGGTACATTTTATCCTGAGGAGGTGATGCGTTGGCTGTATTGATTCCTACTGATAAATAATTTCACCTGCACCAGTCAGAATAAAATTCAAAGATGGTTAATAGTAATGAATACCTTACTGACAGAAGTCTGTTGCCTATTAAGAACAAGATGAGCTTCTCAAGCAGGAAGCGCTTTATTTAAAGTGAATGATGGGGGCTGGCGCTGTGGCATAGTGGGCAAAGCTGCCGCCTGCAGTGCCAGGATTCCATATGGGCACTGGTTTGAGTGCCAGCTGCTCTACTTCCAATACAGCTCTCTGCTATGGCCTGGGAAAGCAGTAGAAGATGGCCCAAGTCTTTGGGCCCCTGCACCCGCATAGGAGACCCAGAAGAAGCTCCTGGCTCCTGGTTTCAGATCAGCACAGCTCCGGCTGTTGCAGCCAATTAGGGAGTGAACCAGCAGATGGAAGACCTCTCTCTCTCTTTTTCTCCCTCTCTGCCTTTCCTTTTTGGTGTTACTCTGACTGTCAAGTAAATAAATAAGCAGAGGATGGCTCAAGTGCTTGGGTCCCTGCCATCCATGTGGGAAACCCAGACGGAGTTCTGGGTTCCTAGCTTTGGCCTGGCCCAGCCCTAGCCATTACAGACATCTCGGGAGTGAACCAGCAGATAGAGGACCACTCTGTCTCCCTTACTGTGCCTTTCAAACAATTAAATAAATCTTTTTTTTTTTTTTTTAAGTGAATAGTGAACTAAAGATTGTGGAACAGTCTAAGAGACAACTGGCTTGTATTCTTCAAAAATATCCATGTCTTGAAGACAAAATAAATCTGAGAACTGCTTATTAAAGGACACGATAGCCAAAGAGGAAATGTAGGACCTCGATGGGATACCGGCTTCTGAAAAATAAGCTATAATAAAGAAATGTAGAAATTTGAAATCCCCATATGGGATGCCAGCACTGCAGCTGGCAGCTTTACCCACTATGCCACAGCGCCAGCCCCTACAATCCAATTTCAAAGGGTTCAGTGAAAAAATGCTGGCAATTGGTGAACCCAGGAAAAGGTATAGGGGTGGTCACTATTTTATTCTTTCAAGCTACCCATAGTTTTCATGCTTCAGAACAAATGATCCTAGAAAAAAGGACTAGGGCACTAGATGCATTTCTTGATGATCACTGCAAGATTAAACTCCACCTTTTTGAACTAAGATGGCAAAAAGGTAATAAATTAATAGCCCCCTGGGTTTTGAATAGTGCTGATGTTATGCTGGGTTAATGTTAAATACTGTTTATTGTCCTTATCTGTTGATCCTGACTTTATGAAAACAGATGACACAGAGCCACTTGGGTCATATTTTATATATATATATATATCATATATATATATCAGATATACATATATATATATATGATATATTTGAGGAAGCTGGAGAAAGGATGTCAGTGGATTGATTCTATGTAACCCACAGCAAATTTTTTGTTACGTGTGGAGTTACTCCAAAATGAAAACCTTAAAAATGTAAAAACGTGCCAGTGTGGTGGCACAATGGTTAAACCACCACCTTCAATGCTGGCATTACATAGTAGAGTGCTGGTTTGAGTCCTGGCTGTTTCAATTATGACCCAGCTACCTGCTGATGTGCCTCTGAAAGCAGCGGAAGATGGCTCAATGACTTTGACCCCGGCCAACCACATGGGAGACTTGGATGGAGTTCCTGGCTTCTGGCTTTCACCTGGCTCAGTCCAGGCTGCTGCCACCATTTGAGGAAGTGACTCAACAGATAGAATTTCTCTTTTTCTTTGTTGATCTGCCTTTCAAAAAAGTAAATAAATAAAATCTTTGAAAAATAAAGGGCCAGTATTGTGGCGAGGTGGGTAGAGCTGCCACCTGCGATGCTGGCATTCCAAGGAGGTTCAGGTTCAAGCCCCAGTTGCTCCACTTTCAATCCAGCTCCCTGTTAATGTACCTGGGAAAGTAGTGGAGGAAGGCCTAGATACTTGGGCCCCTGTACCCACGTGGGAGATCCATAAAAAGCCTTTGGTTTCTGGTTTTGAACCGGCTCAGCCCCAGCCGTCGTGGCCATTTGGGGAGTGGATCAATGGATACAAAGTCTGTAAACTGTGCCTTTCAAATAAATAAATAAATTTTTAAACAATAAAATAAAATTTAATAGCAAACTATTCTTATACTCTGCTGAAGTTTCAGGTAACGTATTAAGTATAATATGCAGCACTGTGCCCTAGAAAACTGCAACAGTAAACTGCAAGTAGATCACGTTGGAAGCAGTCTTTAATACAGGCAAGGCTTAGAGCACATTTGAATGTAAATCTGGATTCACACTGCATAATTAATAAAGATGTGACATTTTAAAAAGTGTATGTTGCAAAAGAATTTAAAACGACAAGGCCAGCAGTGTGGTATAGTGGATAAAGCTGCTCCCTGCAACCCTGGCATCCGATATGGGCATGAGTTTATGTCCTGGCTGCTCCACTTCCGATCCAGCTCCCTGCTAATGGCCTGGGAAAAGCAGTGTGGGATGGTTTAAGTGCTTGGGCCCCTGCCATCCATGTGTGAGACCTGGAAAGAGCTCCTGGTTTTGGCCTGGATAAGCCCCTAACTTTGCGACCATCTGGGGAGTGAACCAGTGGATGGAAGATATCTCTCTCTCTCACTGGAACTCCGACTTTTAAATAAGTAATTTTTTTTAAAAAAAGATTTTATTTATCTATTTGAGAGGTACAATTACAGACAAAATAAATCTTAAAAAAAAAAAAAAAAAAAAAAAAGACAAGGGGCCTACGTTTGCGGTGTGGTGGGTTAAGACGCCGCCTGCAACGCCAACATCCCAAATGGGTGCTGACTGGAGATTTACATGCTCCACTTTTGATCCAGGTTCCCTGCTAATGCACCTGGGAAAGCAATAGAAGATGGTGCAAATGCTTGGGACCCTGCATCCACATGGGAGACCTTGATGGAGTTCCAGACTCCTGGGTTCAGCCTAGCCTAGCCCTGGCCATTAAGGCCATTTGGGGAGTGAACTAATAGATGGAAGATCTCTCTCTGTCTCTTCCTTTCTCTCTGTAACTCTTTCAAATAAATAAGTGACTCTTTTTTAAAAAATGAGAAAAATAATCTTGGGGCAGGTTAACGCACTGCCCTGAAGCGCCGCATCTCATATGGGTGCCGGTTTGAGACCTGGCTGCTCTACTTCCGATCCCAGCTGTGGCCTGGGAAAGCAGTAGAAGTCCTTGGGCCCCTGCACCCACGTGGGAGACCCGGAAGAAGCTCCTGGCTCCTGGCTTCAGATAGGCACAGCTCCAGCCATTGTGGCCAACTGGGGAGTGAACCAGCGGATGGAAGACCGACCTCTCTCTCTGCCTCTCCTTCTCTCTCTGTGTAACTCTTTCAAATAAATAAATAAATCTTAAAAAAAAAAATAATCTAACATCTGTTTCTTGAGGCTTTTCTGTGTGCATTTCTTGAGTGTATTCCACAGAGAATGGGAAGCAGTAACTCCAGGAAGCTCAATGCCAAAACTGTCATACCTGAAATACAGCTGTTTGATTTTCTCATAAAACTCATGAAACAAAAGCTGTCAGCTATCAACTCCAACACATATTGCTCTTCTCCCTGGGTAGCAGATGCCTGAGTGGACGCGTGACTGGAATAAAGACTACTCTGCAGTGAGGGAGGCTACCATGTAATGTGTGCAATTCCTTGCAAACAGGTGAAAAGGGCAGCATACCCCCTCCTCTCCCTTTTCTCCCACCTGTCAGCTGGAGTGTGGCAATGATGGCCGGAGGCCAGGGAGCCAAAGGGACCCTTGGCGGCCCACTGAGGATGGCTGCAGTGGACTGCGTTATCCCCTCAATCCTTCCTGTCCTGGCTGGGGTGACTCGGAAGGCTCTGTTTCTCTACTCCACTGACTTTGGACATGGTCTTACTGTTCTTGGACATGACCTGCTGGGAGACTGTGACACAAACAGAAGCTTTAAATATGCTTGGGTGGTTTGGCTTGAATTCTTGCTTCTGCCATCTGCCTTAAGAAAACTACAGCCCAGGTAGCTGCTGGCCCCATGATGAGCAGACACATGGAGCAGCTCTGAACCCAACCGACAGCCTGGTGCCAAGTCAAGGCTGGATGATCCAGCAAAGCCCAGCAGATCCACATTGCATGAGTGAAAAATAAATGCTTGTTATTCAAGACACTGAGTTTTAGGGTTATTCGCTATACAGCATATCTGTAACAACAGCTCAATGACAAAACCTGAGCTGGAAGAATGTGACTAGGCTGCCTACCTCTGAATTTCTCGGACCTGAGAAAGAAAGAAACTTGTTTCTTATTTAAGCTGCTGCTAACACATTTTCCTACAATCTGCAGCCAAGACCAGTCCTGAAATACTCTCATTCCTTCCAAAATAGCTTCAACAGGCATCTACAATGAGATTTAAAAAAAAAAAAAAAGATTTATTTATTTGAAAGGCAGAGTTAGAGAAAGAAGAAAAGAAAGAATTTTCCATCAGCTGGGTCACTCTCCAAATGGCCACAGCAGCCAAGGCTATGTGGTGTAAGTGTAAGAGTAAGGGGGAAGGGTGCCCTGTGCTGTGGCAGAGTAGGCTAAGCCTTCGCCTGCGGCACCAGCATCCCATATGGGCATTCATTTGAGTTCTAGCTGCTCCTCTTCTGATACAGCTCCCTGCCAAGGCCTGGGAAAGCAGCAGAAGATAGTCCAAGTGTTTAGGCCTCTGCACGCACATGGGAAACCTGGAAGAAGCCCCGGGCTCCTGGCTTCAGATTGGCCCAGCCCCCGATGCAGCCATTTGGGGAGTGAACTGGTGGATGGAAGACCTTTCTCTCTTTCTCTCTCTCTCTCAAATCAATCAATCAATCTTAAAAAATAAGAGTATGTGTGGGAGTGTGTAATGTGTGGTTGGGGATATGTGTGTGACTTAGTAGGGGACGGGGGATGCGTACGTAGGTGTACTGAGGTGTGGGACCTATGGAGGCCAGACTTTGGCCTCATGTATTTGGGGGTATATAGAAAAGTAGGAGGCCCTTATAGCTTCTCTTAAAATGAAAAAGCCTGAATAAAACTCGATGATTCTATATCTGATTTGACGTATTTTAACCTGGCTTATCATCAACCACTTACTGAAGTCCATAGCCTCCTACTCAGCCCTGTAATCCAGGTCTGCTCAGAAATTAGGCAAAAGTTAAAACTATTAGCTTTTTTTTTTTTTTTTTTTTTTTTTAATTTTTGACAGGCAGAGTGGACAGTGAGAGAGAGAGACAGAGAGAGAAAGGTCTTCCTTTGCCGTTGGTTCACCCTCCAATGGCCGCCGCTGCAGCCGGCGCACCGCGCTGATCCGATGGCAGGAGCCAGGATCCAGGTGCTTTTCCTGGTCTCCCATGGGGTGCAGGGCCCAAGCACTTGGGCCATCCTCCACTGCACTCCCTGGCCATAGCAGAGAGCTGGCCTGGAAGAGGGGCAACCGGGACAGAATCCGGCGCCCCAACCGGGACTAGAACCCGGTGTGCCGGCGCCGCAAGGTGGAGGATTAGCCTATTGAGCCACGGCGCCGGATTAAAACTATTAGCTTCTTTATTCAATCCAGCAATTTACATACTCCTAGTTGCACCCTGAACTCAAAGAACTATGTACTAGGTAAAACATGCTGTTCATTGTGTGATTACAAACGAAAAAACCGACGAATTAAGTAACAGAGGTATTATAGGCCCAAATCACACCAGTAAAGCTAAAGAGCAAGTAGGGATGTCTCTAGGTAAAAGGTTTCCAACAGGAAGGCAGGTGGGCATCACGATTCAGAGTGGGTTTCAGTCACACTTAGTGTGCATTCCAGTGATACTTAGTTTTTCTGAGCTTTACTTTCTATACCAGAGGGTGTGTGTAAGGGAGCTGTAGGATTCACGTGTAAAATGCTTTTGAGTTTTGATATTTAATAAGCACTCACTAAATACTAGCTATTCTTGTTACCAGAACCTTGCCTTATAGGATTTGCTTTACCCTAGCTGTGCAAGTGTGATTCTGATCCCATATCCCACACACAGGGTCAACAGAGGCACAGTTTTGACAATTATCAGGAGGCCAGCAGCAAACCTGAAGAAGCGTGCTAGGCAGGTCTCTGTCCTGGCTTTCAGTCACCTTGGGCTACCAGTCTTCATAAAGTCTAATTCTACAGAGAGAAGCACGGAGAGAGGCCTCACTTCTTGAGATTATAATTTTAAAACAATGGCTTGGTAGCTAGAATATTACCTGGTTGCTTTTGCCGAGGCTTTGGCAAATTTGTCACACACGTATGTGGGCACATGAGGATATTGCAAGGATGCAGAGATCCCTCCAGAAAGAGCTGTTTCGTCTGAGATATATGGATCCCTCCTAGTGGAGTTTTTGGCAATGTATTGGCAGGCACCAGAGCAAGACAATAAACTCCTACTTGATGAATGCTGTCGATTGCCTAGAAAAATATGAAGAAAAACATTCCATGAGATTACTTTTGCTATGCTGGAAATAACCCTGACAACACTCATGTTTCTGTAGGATTTTCCTCTCTCTATTCTATCCATTCTAGAGGTACAATCTGACAGGCCTTTAAGAGCCTGTATGTCTAAAGATCTTATCTCAACGATGAAGATCCCACGCGTTTTACAACCACAGCAGAGTAACAGGGTAGGTAAGACGGATACAGCATGCATGGTCAGAGGTGGCACTGATTTCTAAGACCTAGTATATTCTCTTTTAAGGGATAACACCAAAACCTTAGAAATTAGTCTTTGGTTTTAAAAATTTTACCTGTCTACCACTGCACAAGTGACTAGACACGAAGTATTTTTACCATGAAAACAGCAGATACTCTCTACCTGGGCTGGGCTAACTCTGTAAAACAGGCCAGGGAGGGCCATGGCACACCGAGCACTGGAGACCACATACTACTCCAGTGCCCCTCTGCCTCCAGCTGCTGCTGTGTAAACTGCAGTTGTTTCTACACTGTCATGGCCATTCTTATTACTGGGTTCACATAATTTAATTAAATATTACATCAGCTGATAATACAAATGTGAAAACACTGAAAAGTTATGCTTTGGAAAAGTCTTATGTTTGTGGAAATAAGCTAACATGGAAGTCCAATCAGTGTACTCAAAATCACACTGCTCCCCAGCAAATAAATGCAGTTATGTTTTGTAATGAAACTTAATACTTGAAAAAATTTAATCAACTGTGATTTTTCTGCTTCAACTACATTTAAAAATTTTTTTAAATGTATGTATTTATTTATTTGAAAGTCAGCATTACAGAGAAAGGAGAGACAGAGAGAGCTCTGATTCACTGGTTCACTCCCCAGATGGCCACAGTGGCCAGGCTGAAGCCAGGAGCCAGGAGCTTCATCTGGGTCTCCCGTGTGGGTAGCTGGGGCTCAAACACTTGGGCCATCTTCTTCTGCTTTTCTCAGACCATTAGCAGGGAGCTGGATCAGAAGTGGAAGAGGGGCCAGCGCTGTGGCACAGTGGGTTTAAGCCCTGGCCTGAAGCACTGGCATTCCATATGGCTACCGGTTCAAGACCCAGCTGCTCCACTTAAAATCCAGCTCTCTATTATGGCCTGGGAAAGCAGCAGAAGATAGCTCAAGTCACTGGGCCCCTGCACCCACGTGGGAGACCTGGAAGAAGCTCCTGGCTCCCAGCTTCAAATCAGCTCAGCTTTGACCATTGCAGCCATTTGAGGAGTGAACTAGCGGATGGAAGAACTCTCTTTCTGGCTCTACCTCTCTCTGTAACTCTTTCAAATAAATAAAATAAATATTAAAAAAAAAAAAAGAATAAAAGATGAGCAAGGTCTTTGATGGAAACAAGTCAAAAGGGCCAAGGAATAAACATGCAGATCATATTCCTCAGACTATCCTACTAACCAGCACAGATGGCTGGGACATGGGACGTCTAGTGGAGTTCTTAGGCTTCTGATCTTCTAGAACACAGAGGAAGTTAACAAATGTATTACATGTGGCCCAGGCCCCCTCTGAAAACACAACACCTGGTAAGTCATGTAATAACTACTTTTACGTAGAAGGTGCTGCGTTAGCTTACTCTGTGTGCAACTTGGAATCAGAAGATCTTTGGCCTCTAACCTACTAGAGGTCATAAGGTGTCCTTTACTGTTCTACTGCGGACCCACAGGCCCCATGTTGAAGAGTTAGACTGGGAAATTAACAGCATGCCCAAATCACACCCCAAATGACTTTTACAAGGATTTCTAGCCTCCTGTAGTTGTAGTAAGTCATGGTACCTGGAGAAATTTCAGGTATACTCATTTTTCGGTAATATAGAAAAAAAAATGTGTAATTCACTAAGACTGTACTGTTATGCACCAAGGTTCATTCTGAACAAACCACTAGGTCTTTGAAAATATTAACAGTGTTCTCTTTGCATGTTTGCCTCTTAGCCAATGAATCATGTCCGACTGTCCTCACAGTCCTCTCTGTCTGGTCTGTTTGCAGTATTGTTTTCCCTCCGATTTTCCACTACGAGCAGCCCAAGCCACACCAGCTGGTAGTCTGGAAATCTGCGAGTCGCCCATCCCCATCGTGTACTCCACGCCTGCATCGCTTCTGCAGCATTACCACTAACCACCATTTAAACATGCAAACGTTCTAAGCAGAGCAGCTGTAGTCACTGGAAACACTTCCAGTAACATGCGTGTTGCCATGGCAAGGCTGCTGCATGTGATCTCCGGATCACCCATTGGGCCAACAAATGTTTACCAAGTCATTACACAGCTATCAGCTCTGGGGTAAAGCAGCAAATAAAGAGCCAAGTGTTGGCCTTCACAGAGAACAGTAAACAGAAATATATGGCCCTACATGCTAAGGAGAGACACAGAGTAAAGGGACAGAAAGTGAGACGGAGAGGACTTGTCTATCTTCCTTATTGAAGATTATGCTTATCATTATGATTGCTATTATTTTTTAAATATTTATTTATTTATTTGAAAAGCAGTGTTAGAGAGAGAGAGAGAGAGAGAGCGCGCGCACGCGCGCGTGCACGCTCTTCCATCTGCTGGTTCACTCCCCAATTGGCCACAATGGCTGGAGAGCCGAGCCCATCTGAAGCCAGGAGCCAGGAGCTTCTTCTGGGTCTCCCACATGGGTGCAGGGGCCCCAGAACTTGGGCCATCTTCCACTGCTTTCCCAAGCCATAGCAGAGAGCTGGATTGGAAGTGGAGCAGCTGGGACTTGAACTGGTGCCCACATGGGATGCCAGCACCGCAGGCGGCAGCTTTACCTGCTACACCACAGCTCTGGCCCATATTTTTTAAAGATTTATTTATTTATTTGAAAGGCAGAATTATAGAGGCAGAGCCAGAGGCAGGGAGGCAGGGAGGCAGGGAGGCAGGGAGGCAGGGAGGCAGGGAGGGGGTGGAGGGGTGGGGGGAGGGTCTTCCATCTGCTGGTTCACTCCCCAGATGGCTGCAATGGCTGGAGCTGCACCGATCTGAAGCCAGGAGCCCGGAGCTTTTTCTGGGTCTCCTAGGTGGGTGCAGGGGCCCAAGGACTTGGGCCATCTTCCACTGCTTTCCCAGGCCAAAGCAGAGAGCTGGACTGGAAATGGAGCAGCTGGGACTCAAACTGGTGCTCATATGGGATGCCAGCACTGCAGGTGGTGGCTTTACCTTCTACGCCACGGCGCTGGCCCTGATCATTATTTTTGATGCTAGTAAGAATCACCATTATCACTTAGTGAATGCAGGTACCATATATTTGATTCTTCCAATGCCTCTGTAAACCAGGTAATTTTACCTCTACTCCATATGCTAGGAAATAAACTCACCACGGTATAGTAACTTGCCTAATGGCATTTACCTTGAAAGGAGGGGGACATCATTAAACCTGTGATTCCAAACAAAGACCTGGCACGGTTCCCGGCCGCTCCCCACACACTGAGCCAAGGCACTCTCCCTCCCTGACGGCTTCTCTCAGAGTGCTTCCTAGCCCTCCACAGTACAGCTCCCTCAGGTCATGGCAACACCTTCTCGAGAGCCCTTCACCCTCAAGGCACCACTGTGACAAGCTGCTGACAAGTGGAACAATGACTGTCAAACGTGCTTCCCGTGTGCACAGTTCAACCGTTCATGGGTGGTCAGTTCTCTGGCATGAAAGAAATTGCTGGGGCCGGCGCTGTGGCACAGTGGGTAAAGCTGCGGCTTGCAGTGCCGGCATCCCATCTGGGCGCCAGTTGGTGTCCCGGCTGCTTCACTTCCAATCCAGCTCTCTGCTATGGCCTGGGAAAGCAGTAGAAGATGACCCAAGTCCTTGGGCCCCTGCACCCACATGGGAGACCCAGAAAAAGCTCCGGGCTCCTGGCTTCAGATCGGTTCAGCTCCAGCTGTTCTGGACAATTGGGGAGTGAAGCAGCAGATGGAAGACCTCTCTCTCTGCTTTTCCTTCTCTATGTAACTTTTTCAAATAGATAAGTAAATCTTAAAAAAAAAAAAATTTGCTGAAGCAAGCCAATTCAGTTGTTCTTGGCAAGCTGAGCAGAAGGATATTTAGTGGTCCTCCAGGAGAAATGGCATTAAGCATCTGATTTTGCTAACAATACCAAGAATATTTGAGTGTTGATGGACAAGAGGGAAAACTAAGGTGGCATAACGGATCCGTGCAAGAAAACAGCAAGGCAGGAGTGGCTGCCACCCATGAGCCGCGAAGGACCAGGGTGCGCTCACCTGCAGCACGCGGCTCATCCACTGGAAACTGTCTTCTTCAGAAGCATCGGGCCTCTGTTCCGCCACCACCACGATGCGCTCATCATAAAATACAGACACAGAAAACACAGCAATTCTAAGAGAGACAGATCACACATATCAGGACTCCTGTCACAGCCAGTCCTACTTGCTTGCTTTGACTGGAATTACAGAGAGGAGACGTCCCCACCACACCTCCCAGAAATGGGTCGTTTAGAAAAGAAAATGTCACAATGATTACCATCCAATGAGGATTCATTCATTCAAAAAACATGTATTAAGCACCACTGTCATGAATGTTTGGACACAGAGGTAAGTAAGACAAGGTTCCTGTCTTCGTGGACTTGGGTGTCAGAGACAGAACAGACAAATCAATATAGAAGAATGTCATGTTGCAATGTAGACGGTGGGCACAGGGAGGAGCGGTGTGCGGGGGTGTTACAGAGGCAGGGCGACTGGGGTGGGGCCTCGCTGAGGACGACACTGGAGCAGAGACCTGAATGAGGTGAGGACGCGAGCCGCGCGGAGATCTGGAGGAAGAGGTTTCCGGGCAGAAGGAACGGAAAGCGAAAAGGTTCTGAGGTAGGGACGAGCTTGGCAGGTTTGAGGAACAGCAAGAAGGCCAGTGTGCCTGGAGCAGAGTGGTGAAGCAGAGAGCGGGAGGGAGAGTCAGACACGGGCAAGGGCGGCTCGCGGAGGCCTGGGAGGCCGAGGGAGGGAGTGTGGGGTTGGGCTCGAGTGAGGTCTCCGCTCAAATGTCCCCTTGCTAGCGAGGAATTCCCAGAGCACCTGGGGTACACCAATAGGCCCCCCACCCTCTCGAGGTACTGCTCCTCGGCACTCATTGCCTTCTCATACGGTGCCATGTCCCTGCTTATCTGGCTACTGTTTCCCACAATGAGCATGTGAGCTTCACAAGGGCAGAGACCGCTTTGCTCGCTGCAGCAGCCGGGGCATCTAGAACAGTGGCACATATTTGGCACCCAATGAATATCTACTGAACGAATGCACAAAAGAATGGGAAGCCACTGGCGGGTGGAATATGCCAGCAGGGCCACCTGACTTGCCTCCCTCCTTCCACCCGCACGCGTTTCTGCAACATCTATCTGCTACATGACACTGAGAGCTGGGATGTAATAGAAGATCTACAGTGCCATGCAGTGTGCATTGGAGGAGGCCACACTGTTACAAAAAGCCACGTTTCCACAACTGGCTGGTTTTTGGTTTCATCAGTTTTTCCTCTTAAAGAACAAAAGGGACACCAAGGTTGTTCTGAAGATATATATCCGTGGTTGTAAACTGCTAAGACAGACATCAACTTCTCAAATATGGAGCAAATACCTTTTCTTGCATTAATAAGCAAGGAAAAAAGATATCTGACACACTTTGCCTCTGGAATTTGATATTAGTATTTAACTGCTATTTCAACCTTCACAATACAATAGTGTGAATAATTTAGTTAAAAATGAGGAAGAGAAATAATTGGTAGATATAAACTCCTACAGAGTAGCCGTCTATCTCCAACAGTCTGAATGTCACCACTACTTCTGTATTAAAGGAATGTATCAAGTTCCATGTATTTATAATTTTACTTAATCCTACAAATTTGGAGTTTATACTTTTAAACTTGTCCTTGGTCCCTAGTACTCAACAAACAGTAGTAACTAGAATCTGACATGTAAGATATGGTTATGTTTTGTTCTCCCAGCTGAGGGATGTTCAAAGCCAGGCTGCTTCTATGCCTCATCAAAGACAACCCAATCACTGGGAGAGAGAATCTGTGAATACAACTAAAATCATCCTGGAAGATTTATTTAGGTTCTACTGGAAGTGCTAAATTTGAACACTGTAGTACTCACCTTCCTCTATAAACAGTCTTTATTGATTCAACAGCCAATCCAGTAGCGACAATGTCATCAGCATTATGTCTTCGACCACTAACCATCAGCAATCCATCCATTTTTCCAACCACGAATACCAAACTACCCTGAAAGGGAACAACAATTTATCTTGACTTCCATGGTTCAAGTAGTAAAACAGACATATTTTACTTCCTGACTTGAATAAGCCACATAGAAAAACGTAAGAAAGCTAATAATGCCATTATTTTATGGATCATAAAGAAAAGGATGTCATATCTTGACATTTTGGAAATCAGCAGGGAAATCAACAGCATCATACAACCAATGAAGTCTTAAAGATTATAAGGAAAGTCACTCAGATATTTATTCTTCTGAGGGATTTTACAACAAAAGCAACCAGGGTTCCCAGCAAGCATAATTCCATCCCCAGCCACAACTGTGTGGTAGGTCATCTTTTGCATCCACTCATGGGATGCATGCAGAGGAGAAAAACATTAATTCATTTAATATTGGAAGAGAAGATGAAAATGGTTTTAAAATGAGAATAACTCTTTCAGGTTTATAAGGGTAATGTTGTTTCCATGTGGCAATATTAGAAATACGCTAATAAAGAAAGGTTTAGGAACCATTCTTTTCCAGGGAGGTAACCGAGCAGCAGGACACCACTATCAAAGCCTCAAAAGCATCAATGGATAAATAAGCTTCCAGATCCACTCGCAGGAAATTAACTTTTCTCATTCATTGCAGACCTCATACATTTCTTGAACCATTTACCTACATCCCATTATCTAGTGGTTATCTCCATGTGACCGTCACTTGACGATTTACTGAGTACAATGCAGTGCCATATCCTGACTGGGCTATGTAAGTAAGCCATGAGTTCTCTTCTCTAGAGGCTGCTGGTCCACCCCAGACAGAAGAAAAGAACCAGCCATTTCCAGCACAGTCGGCAATGCTCTGGTGTTGCTGAGTGAAGATGATGAAACAGCCACTGTCAGTCACCAAACTGCTTTTCCATTTCTTTCACAGAACAAGAATTGTCAGCTAGGCATGTCTGAGCAAAATAAAGATTGTATCTAGCCTCCCTTGCAGCTAGGTGAGGCAGTGGGACTGGCTTAGACCAACCAGATGTAAGTACAAGTGCTGAAAAAGCAGCTTTAGGGAATCTGTGAGAGAGGGCAGGATGACACCTTGTCCTCTCTCTTGCAATCAGATGTGATGGCTACAGTTTGATTTTGGGTCTCTTACTGTAACAGCTAAAAGGAGATGTTTTGTTTTTTAAAATTTATTTGAAAGGCAGAGAGAAGGAGAAAGGTAGGTAGGTGTATCTTCCATTCATTGGTTATTCCCCAGATGACTGCAACAGCCAGGGCTGGGCCAGGCTGAAACTAGGAGCACAGAATTCAATCTGAGTCTCTCATGTTGGGGACCCAAATACTTGAGCCATCACTTGCTGCCTCCCCGGGTACGCATTAGGGAAAGCTGGATCAGAAGTGGGGCTGACTTGAAGCCAGGCACTCCAGTATGGGATGTGGGTATTCCAGGCAATGCCTTAAGTGCTGTGTCAAATGCCTGCCTGCTAAGGGCTTTGTGAACTTCCTGGTCTGAATGGAGAAGTCACAGAGCAGGTGTAGACTATTTCTTAGAGACAGTCTCCAACCTGTACCTTCCTACCACCCCCACAAATGGGGAGGAAGAAATACAATAAATTACTCCTTTTTTTTGGATAATTTACACTAGGCCCTCTGTTCTCATCATTACACTCAGGAGCTCTTCGAGAACAGACTTTTCATGTCCCAATTGTCTCTTTTATTATTTATTTTTAAAAGTTTCAGCCGGCGCCGCGGCTCACTAGGCTAATCCTCCGCCTTGCGGCACCGGCACACTGGGTTCTAGTCCCGGTCGGGGCGCCGGATTCTGTCCCGGTTGCCCCTCTTCCAGGCCAGCCCTCTGCTGTGGCCAGGGAGTGCAGTGGAGGATGGCCCAGGTGCTTGGGCCCTGCACCCCATGGGAGACCAGGAAAAGCACCTGGCTCCTGGCTCCTGCCACCGGATCGGTGCGGTGCGCCGGCCGCAGCGCGCCGGCCGCTGCGGCCATTGGAGGGTGAACCAACGGCAAAAGGAAGACCTTTCTCTCTGTCTCTCTTTCTCACTGTCCACTCTGCCTGTCAAAAATAAATAAATAAATAAATAAATAAATAAATAAATAAATAAATAAAAATTAAAAAAAAAAAAAGTTTCTAAGAGATCCTCCATCCACTGGTTTATTCCCCAAATGGCCACAATGGACCAGGCTGAGCCAGGCTGAAGTCAGGAGGCAGGAACTCCATCTGGGTCTCCCTCAAAGGTGCCAGGGATCTAAACACTTGGGCCATCTTCTGTTGCTTCCCCAGGTGCACCAGCAGGGAGATGGATTGGAAGCAGAGCAGTAGGGACTCCAATAGGTGCTCAGGTATGGAATGCCAGTATTGCAAGAAGCAACTTTTCCTGCTTCACCACAATGCAGGCTCCCTAACGGTCACTTTAATCCAAGGCCAATCAACATCACTTGCTGAATGAAAAATTGTTTTCATTTAGATAATTTGTGGAGTTGAGTATTGGGCGCAGTGGGTTGCTACTTATAATGCTGGTGTCCCATACTGGAGTGCCTGTTTGAGTCCAGATACTATGCTTCCAGCTAATGTACCTGGGAAGGCAGCAGAGGATGGCCCAAGGGCTTAGATCCTTGCCACCCACAAGAGAGGTCCAGATGGAGTTGCTGGCTTCTGGTCTGGGCCATGGCAGCCATCTGGGGAGTGAATCAGCAGATGCAAGAATTTTCTGTCTGGGGCCAGTGCTGTGGCATCGCAGGTTAACGTACTGGCCTAAGGCATCAGCATCCCATATGGGTGCCGGTTCAAGACCTCGCTGCTCCACTTTCGATCCAGCTCTCTGCTATGGCCTGGGAAAGCAGTAGAAGATGGCCCAAATCCCTGGGACCCTGCAACCGCATGGGAGAACCAGAAGCAGCTCCTGGCTCCTGGCTTCGGATCAGCCCAGCTCCGGCCGTTGCAGTCATCTGGGGAGTGAACCAGCAGATGGAAGACCTCTCTCCCTCTCAGTCTCCCTCTCCCTCTCTCTCTCTGCCTCTCCTCTCTCCGTGTAACTCTTTCAAATAAATAAATAAATCTTAAAAAAAAAAAAAAGAACTTTTTGTCTTGTGTGTCCACCCCCCCGTCACCTTTCAAATCAATGAACTTTAACAAAAAGATTTGCTATTACATTGGACACAGTGCTGATAATTTGTTTAAAAATGTTTTCCACACTATGTATTATGGTTTTCCTTTATTACTGAAGAAAATTTATCCAGCACTCTTCTAACTCAGTGCATCATGGTAATCAAATAAAAGAAGGCAGTGAGGATAAGTGAAAAGAATACTGAAAATAAAAAAATGATCTCAGGTAACAGAAACAATAAACATTAAACTCATTTAATCATCATGAAAGCACCACTTACTGGCCCTACAAAACCAAGCAACCCTGAACGGATAAATGGCACGTCCCCAACAGGAGAGCCTGCAGAATTCACTGGAATCACCTAAAAGACAAAAGGAAGAGAGATGAAAACTTTCATTTTCCTCCAAAAATGTATTTGATTCTTAAAACATCTTATTACTCTAAAAAATTACAACAGTAATAGATGCTGTTCTAAAACTAACATTATATGAATAATGAACCCAGAAATTCTATTTCCTTATCTGACAGCATTTACAATCTGTTGTTTGTTTTGTGTTTACTTATATTAATATAAAAAAGAAATGAATGTTAGTCTTGCTGTTGTACCCCAAACTACAAAAGTTAGTCATAGTATGTGATAAATATTTAGTTAATACGGAAAAGACCTTAAATTACAGGGTCTGGTACTATCAGAAGCTTTAGGCACTTAACTGGCATCTTGGGACACATCCCTCAGGGACAAAGAGGGACTACTGCATTACCCATATTTTAAAGATAAGGAAATAGGGAGGTTAATAACCTTACGCTATGTCCCATCAGGCAGCAGATCTGCCCTATAGTATCCTGACCTCACCAGACATTTTCCCTGTGAAATGTTAACATCATCTACCTCAAATGTATTTTTTGTCACACCAGCAAGCCCAAAGTACATCATGCCCCCGGTTCTGGAGCTAACACAAATTTCTCCAATTTCATCTGTCTTGCAGAGATGGGGAGGTCCATCTGGTTTCACGATGCACATCATTCCTAACATGCAGAAAATCCAGGTAAGGAACAGACACTCTGGAAAACCTTTACAAAATAACAACTTAACCCAGCCAACCCAGGAGTGGTTTGCACTGACTGACTGGCATGAAGAATGTCGAACAGGAATGCTAAAAATAGTACATGCTATACATAGGTGCATTTGAAATTTAAAGATTTTGGAGAGCTTATCACATTTAAAATGACTGCAAAGTCCACAGAAACAGGTTAGGTGAATTAGGTGTTACCCCTAGGTAGATGAAATACCAACACTCACAGGAACAGCCCACTCTTTCTGCCAGTCCAATGGCCCAGCAATTACAGTAAAAACAAGGTGACTGAAGTATCAGTACAAGATTTCCAGGTGAAGAAACACAGCTGAAACTCACAGCTGACAAATCACGCAGTACGGGTACTTTTGGGAGGTCACCGTAATTATCACTCCTAAACTGTTCAAATGGCTTTGAGAAATTAAGCAGTTAAGCACTGAAATGAGGAGTCCTGGTTTTGGATCTCTCATTTTATTGGGTTCTACTCTGTTTAATGACAAATCTCTAGGAAAAACCAAATAGTGCCTCTTAACACCTTACCCCCAGGCATAACATGTCCCACATCCTGGACTGTCAGGGCTGAGTTCTTATCTTCAGTATTGACTCGTATTACTCCATAGCTCAATCCATTCATCGACAGAATGGCTCTTCCTGGCAAAGGAGCCCCGGGTACTCCAGGCCTAAAAAGAAAATGAACCCATGAACTATGGCAAACTGAATGATATGAAGAACAAAAGATGAATATGAAAGGAAAAAAATTTTTTCTAGCAAAAGAACAGTTACTTTTCACTAGCAATAATACATCAAATTAATTCAATTTACATAAACAACGCACTGTCAATTATCAATCAGGTGGAGAAAGTAAACTTTAAGGGCCAGCATTGTGGCACAGTGGGTTGAGCCGTTGCCTGTAGTGCCAGCATCCCATATGGGCATTGGTTCAAATCTTGGCTGCTCTACTTCAGATCCAGCTTCCTGCTAAAGGCCTGGGAAAGCAGCGGAAGATGGTCCCAAGCACTTCCCTGCACCCACTTGAGAGACCCAGAAGCGCCTGGTTCCAGCCTGGCCCAATCCCAGGCATTGCAGCCATCTGGGGAGTGAACCCAGAGATGGAAGATCTCTCTCTGTCTCTCCTTCTCTATAACTCCTTCAAATAAATAAAATAAAATTTTTTTTTTAAAAAAAAGCAAATTTCCATCAGTTGCTAATACTATATTGTTCTTGGGTATATGAGAAGCTTACAACTGAGAGCAGTCCATCTCTAGTCTAGGATGCTAAGGATTCTGAGGAGAAAAACAACACAGAAAAAAAAAACTAATTCAAATATGAGATGAGAATAATTTTTAATTTACCAGATACACTTTGGGCAAGAGTGGGAAAAATACATGAGATGCTTCAGACTACGCTTACAAAGTAATTTTCACTTTTAGACTTTTTGACTTAGAAAGCTAGTTAGCATCTCTTTGTTATCACCTGGTAAATGCTGTACATTTCATCCAAGCTGTGATATACATCATGGGTATTTGGCACTCTGAACAATACCTGCGGATTGCTACAGTCATGGCTTCGGCAGATGTAGCACAGGGACAGATGGCCTCAGGTTTCAGTCCATGGCTTTGGAACAGACTCAGGAAGGCATCACAGGATGACACAGACCCTAAGCAGGTGGAACAGATAAATTTTACAACTGAAATTGTGTTTTCCGCATTGCAGGAAATTGGTGAAGAGTGGAAAGCTGATGTATGTGTTTCTCATGAGGATTCACAGTGTACATCATTAATTCCACAGAAAATTTGACTGTGAGATGGTTTGACACATTTCCAGGTCAAATTAATGTTCACCCAGCCAATGAAAGGTCAGTGACAAAATCTAAGGTTACAACGTGGAATAACGCTACCCTTGCCAAACCAACAAATCAGTATCAGAGCTAACACTGCAGGCAAGATGCAGCCAGTTTATAATTTAGCACTCTTCCTGAAGGCATTACCATAAGCAGTTTAGTACAGTACTGCCTTAGTTGTACCTTCTTCTCTGTGACAGTCTCTGCCTTTTTTCTTTTATATATTTTTTAATATTTCTATTTATTTGAAAGGGGGCATACACATATACACACTGCACACAGATAGAGATCTTTCATCTGCTGGTTCACTCCCCAAATGCCTGCTCCAACTGAGTCCTCCATGAAGGTGACAAGGATCCAACTACTTGAGCCATCACATACTACCTCCTAGGGTGTGCATTAGCAGGAAGTTGGATCAGAAGCAGAGCACAGATTCAAATCCAGGCACCCCCAATATGGTATGTCTGTAACTCTGCTTATTTTTTTAATACTTCAGTTTAATGTTAATCTAATTGTCAGCTACATGTGGGCCCCAGTGGGTGCTTTTTTTTTAATTTTTTTTAATTTTTTAAAATTTTTTGACAGGCAGAGTGGACAGTGAGAGCGAGAGAGAGACAGAGAGAAAAGTCTTTTTCTGTTGGTTCACCCTCCAAAGGCCGCTGCGGCAGGCGCACCGCGCTGATCCGAAGCCAGGAGCCAGGTGCTTCTCCTGGTCTCCATGGGGTGCAGAGCTCAAGAACTTGGGCCATCCTTCACTGCACTCCCGGGCCATAGCAGAGAGCTGGCCTGGAAGAGGGGCAACCGGGACAGAATCCGGCGCCCCAACCGGGACCAGAACCCGGTGTACTGGCGCCGCAAGGCGGAGGATTAGCCTATTGAGCCGCGGTGCCAGCCCACTTTGCTTTTTTCTTAAGGTCTATCTCATATATGTGTTTTAAACCAAGGTGAACAGGGCCAGTGTTGTGGCATAGCAGGTAAATCTACCGTCTGGGACACCAGCATCCCATGTGAGTGCTGGTTCGCGTCCTGGCTGTTCCACTTCCTATCTAGCTCCCTGCTGATGTGCCTAGGAAAGCAGTAGAAATGGCCCAAGAGCTTGGGTCCCTGCACCCCCGTGGGAGACCTGGAGGAAGCTCTTGGCTCCGGGCTTCAGCCCAGCGCCGGCCATTATGGTTATTTGGGGGAGTGAATCAGCTTATAGAGGACCTCTATCTGTCTCTTCCTCTCTCTATGTGTAACTTTGCATTTCAAATAAATAAAATAAACCTTAAAACAAACAAAAAAAAAGGTGAATGATGTGACTATTGAGAAAAACACACTTAGGAAAGAGCACAGCTTTCAATTCTTTACTTGATCCCAATGTGTGCAGGATTAGGGTTTTTGTGTTTGTAGGCCAAAGCAGGTAACATAGCAGTATCTCTAAAAGTTTTTGCAAACTCCTTTGATTTGCTGCTAGGAAGAATTTAAATAAAGTCTACTGGGTTACATCAAGTCACCTTCTTACTGTTGCTTTTATGTAAGTATTATGCAGAATTCTATGATAGAAAAAGGATATGTATGAATGAACAAGAAGGAATGGTTTTAAAAGCTTACAGAATTCATCAAAAGATGAAGGGATAAATAAGATGCGATACATCCATACAATAGAGCTTTATCTGGCAATAAAAAGGAATGAAGTACTGATATGCTAAAACATGGCTAGATCTTGAAAATACTAGACTAGGGGCTAGCATTTGTAGCACAGTAGGTAAAGCTACTGTCTGTGACACCAGCATCCCACATGAGTGCCGGCTTGAGTCCCGACTGCTCCACTTTTGATCCAGCTCTCTGCTAAAGGTCTGGGAAAGGCAGCAGAAGATGGCCCAAGTATTTGGGCCCCTGGCACCCACGTGGAGACCTAGATGAAGCTCCCGGCTCCAACCTGACTCAGCTGCAGCTGTTGTGGCCATCTAGGGAGTGAACCAGCAGATGGAAGATCTTTCTCTGTCACTGTAACTCTGACTTTGAAATAATATATTTTTTATTCATTTATTTGAAAGGCAGAGTTATGGTGGGGAGAATCTTCTAACCACTGCTTCACTCCCCAAATGGCTGCAACAGCCAGAGCTGGGCGAGTCTGAAGCCAGGAGCCAGGAACTTCTTCCAGGTCTTCCATATAGGTGGCAGGAGCCTAAGCACTTGAGTCATCTGCTGCTGCTTTCCCAGGTGCATCAGCAGGGAGCTAGATGGGAAGTGGAGCAGCTGTTCTAGAACCTGCACCTGTATGGGATGCGGAGCTGCAGTTGGCAACTTTACCCCCTGTGCCACAGTGCTGGCCCCAAATAAATCAATCTTTACAAAAAAAGAAAATGGTAAATTATGTGAAAGAAGCCCATTACAAAAGACCAGACAGTATGACTGCATTTATGCACAATGTCCACAACAGGCAAATCTACAGACACAAAAGCAGAACAGTGGGTAACCAGTGTTGGGGAGAAATGTGGAAGGACTGGTATTAAGTAGGTAGTTTCTTTTCTGAGTAATGAAAATGTTCTAAATTTAGATCATGGTGATGGTAGCATACTTGGGAATAACTAAAATCACTGATTTATACAATTTAATGGGTGAGTTTTATACTATGTGTATTTTATCTCAACATAGATGGTTTTATTAAAAAAAAAAAAAACTTACGAAAAGGCAAGAAAAAAAAAGTAGCCAACCAAAGGAAAGGAAATTCCCGAGCCATGTTCAGGAAATACTTACAGGGATTAGCTCCATCAGTCACAATTAACATCCGTAGGGAACTCAAGCTCACGTCTCTCTGGTCCCGATGTGCCATCATGGCCCAGTGCAAGTCCCGGCACTTTACTAAAGCTACCTTGGCTATAAATTCAACAGGGATAAAGTTAACATATATGCACATCCTCAACTTGGTATGTATTTTATTTACTATATCAAAATATACTGTATCTACAATAGCAAACATGTTTATATATATGGGGATCACAATCTTCACTCAAGGAAAATAAAAAAGGTTTTGAAGAGACTGTGCCAGTTGCTTAGAAGTAGAAAGCACATTTAAACTGACTGGATACACACAGCTTGCTCACTGCAACCTCCATAAGCCACAGTAGCCCGGCCATGAAAACTGAGCACCAGAGTACTCAATAAACCCAATTCTGGGACCAGATTCAGGAGAATTCATCTCAATTCACAAGAAAGGATATCAGTGAGGTGAAAAAGACAACATACCTAATTCTATAGCAACTGAACTCTAAAATCTGTTAAGTCACTAAGCCACATGAATGTGTCTCTACAAGAGAAACCTGAAAATCCCTGACATCTTAGTTCAGTCACACAATTGAGGTTAGCTGCTCTGTGTGATACCTTTGTGGGCGTGCACTCTTTGGACCCAAGAGAGAGGACAAGTCTTCATAACAGAGTAGGGTACGCTAATGGTATGCATCTTATTCATTACATTCTGGAAGGCAAAGAAACATATGTAATCAATACTTAAGTCATACTTTGCATTTGAAAATGGAACTGACATTGTGATACAATACTCAAACAGACATTCTTTGAAATAAGTCTGAAATATTAATTATAAAGTTGAAGTTCCTTTGATACCCACTCTCAAACCTGGTTCCTTCCGCTTCTCCCCATAGAAAATCTCAGTGATGCATCTGGTCCATGTATTTACGAGTCCCTTTTCATACATTTGTAACTTGGCATTTTGCACTTACATTGTTTTAGAGCTAAATCTGCATATATTCAGTACAAGATATTTACACAGCTCTTTGAATCACTGCATAGTATTTCACAGGGTAGCTATATATCACAATAGTTTTTCTTTCTTTCTTTCTTTCTTTTTTTTTTTGACAGGCAGAGTGGACAGTGAGAGAGAGACAGAGAGAAAGGTCTTCTTTTTGCCGTTGGTTCACCCTCCAATGGCTACCACGGCTGGTGTGCTGCGGCCGGCGCACCGCGCCAATCCGAAGGCAGGAGCCAGGTGCTTCTCCTGGTCTCCCATGGGGTGCAGGGCCCAAGCACTTGGGCCATCCTCCACTGCCTTCTCGGGTCACAGCAGAGAGCTGGCCTGGAAGAGGGGCAACCAGGACAGAATCCGGTGCCCCAACCAGGACTAGAACCCGGTGTGCCAGCGCCACTAGGTGGAGGATTAGCTTATTGAGCCACGGCGCCGGCAGTTTTTCTTTTTTTAAAAAAGATTTAATTTAATTTA